CACGACGTGACACAACACATGGCCACACGACGGCACGACACACAACACACGCGGAAGCACTCGGAGTCACCCTCTTAAAAATAATCGGTGAAGCTTTCTGCGCAAAGCAAGCATAGTAATCATGATTCACTCACACGTGGTCACTCCTTCATAGCCTCGCTCACTCACTCTTCTCTCTCTTCGACAACACTTGGCACATTTATCAAGAACACTTTGTGGCCTTAAAGGAAAAGCAGGCAATATGTGACGTTTCGGGCAACGGCCCTTCTGCAAAGCACTCTCCCTTACACTTCCGTAGCTCGGCGTCACTCGCCTGCAGGCTCACGTAGGCGAACGTCTTGATGGGAGTGCCTGTAACACAAAGACAAAGGTACCCCGTGTAGCCTTAACAGACTGGTGGAGCAAGTGCTGTAAGCGAGCACCTATGACGGCCGGCATGGCACACGAGGCGGTAGCGGGTGGCCACGCCCGGCCGCCTTTGTCTCCCTAGTGGGGATGTTTACACACCGTACCGGATATTCATTTGAGGCCGAGTCCACCAATTGGAGGCCCCAAAACCGGCTCAGATCATCAAGAGCGGGAATGGAAGTCGGGGCGCCGGGTTCACAGCGCAGCGCGCAAACCGCCGAGCCATCCCTCCCCCAAACACACACGAGGTCCTCATTCAATACCACCGTCAGCCATGTTCTATGCACTGCTGGATTAAGACCTCCCCAAGCTGTCGCCATCTCTCACGGTCCTGCGACATAACCCAACGGAGCGCGGGTTACAAGAGCTGACTTCGCCGCTCCATCTCCGCGGCGGACGACCTGATGGGAACGTTCCTCCTCTGGCGTGAGTCTTGACCACCGGTCGCCATCCCTCCTCCTCACCAACTCACTCACCCCGGTCGCCCTTCACTTCCCCGCAACCTTCGCCCCTCACGCCTCACCACATTTACCTCGTTATCCTATTACCCAACAACCCTCCGATTAGACTCCTCACCCTCCCTGCATCACCGTTCTGCTCACTTCATCTCAACCTCAACTCATCGTCCTCCTCATCACATCCCCATTCCCCGCCCCTCATCCCTCCACACTTCCACACCCCCCCCCTTCACCTTAACCCCCCCTCACCTCCCTCAGTCACCCCCTTCACTCACTCATCCCCCCCCCTCACTCACTCATCCCCCTCCCTCACTCACCCCCCTCATTCACTCATCCCCCCCCCTCACTCACCCCCTTCACTCACTCATCCCCCCCCCCTCACTCACTCATCCCCCTCCTCCACTCACCCCCCTCATTCACTCACCCCCCTCGCTCACTCACCCCCCTCGCTCACTCACCCCCTTCACTCACTCACTCATCCCCCCCCCTCACTCACCCCCTTCACTCACTCATCCCCCCCCTCACTCACCCCCCCTCCCTCACTCATCCCCCTCCCTCACTCATCCCCCTCCCTCACTCATCCCCCTCCCTCACTCATCCCCCTCCCTCACTCATCCCCCTCCCTCACTCATCCCCCTCCCTCACTCATCCCCCTCCTCACTCACCCCCTCACTCACTCACCCCCCCCACTCACTCACCCCCCCCCCCCCCACTCACTCACCCCCCTCACTCACTCACTCATCCCCCTAAATCACCCCCCTCACTCTCTCATCCCCCCTCACTCATCCCCCCCACCTCACCCACTCACCCCCCTCACTCATCCCCCCCACCTCACCCACTCACCCCCCCCATCACTCACTCACCCCCCTCACTCACCCCCCCTCACTCTCTCATCCCCCCCACCTCACCCACTCACCCCCCTCACTCATCCCCCCCACCTCACCCACTCACCCCCCCCCCCTCACTCACTCACCCCCCTCACTCACCCCCCCCCCCTCACTCTCTCATCCCCCCTCACCCCCCTCACTCACTCATCCACCTCACCCACTCACCCCACCCCTCACTTACTCACCCACTCACTCACTCACCCACTCACTCACTCACTCACCCCCCTCACACTCTCACCCCCCCCTCACCCGTCTCGTCGCTCCGCGTCTTCACCGCCACGTCCCCCACGGCCCCGAACGCCTCGAAGCGGCGCCGCAGCTCCTCGGGCCGCACGCTCGCCACGAGGCCGCCCACGAACACGCGGCGCGGCGTCTCCCGCGGCGTCTCTCGCGGCGTCTCTCGCGACGTCTCCCGCGGCGTCCCCCGGGTCCCCTCGGCCGCGACGCGGGTCCCCATCTCACCCCTCGACCGATGATCCCCAGCGGCTCGCGCCGACCACGTGGGGCCAAGACCGGAAGAGGAAGTCACGTGGGGCCCACACCGGAAGAGGAAGTCACGTGGCCCACGCAGGGCGGCGGGTCACGTGTCACGCCCCGAGTCAGCCTGCAGCTGGCGACTATTGCTGTTGTTATTGTTATAGTTGTTGTTATTGTTATAGTTGTTGTTATTGTTGTTATACTCCATGCTAAATGTTTATTTCGTTGGGTTATATCGCGGAAATAGAACTGTGTCGTTAACCCACCACCCGACACAGACGATGAGCAAGGTTTGTCACGTGAACGAAACGCAGCAATTACAAACCTCTCGAGCCCTTGTTACAGAACAATTCCGACATCACATCGTGGCCACCCCGTGCCCCTTCAATCTCAGCGCTCCTCCTACGAAGCCCCAATCACAAGGGAGAAACACAAACAAAGAGACACGAAGACATTGTGTTGCCGGTATTGGAGCGGCTGTGCTTAGTATGGACCTGAAGACTCAATTTCCTGTACAAGAATTCGGCTAAACCGTACGGGTTGACAGCGATGCAATTAGTCCCTAAGCACGCCGGTGTGTTGCAGAGTAAACTCACATTTACTATTTGAGTCCCAGTTATAAACTTATTTAAATTGTAGATGTGAGTTTATTCTCCAACACAACGTGCCAACCCCTCGCTAATTGGCAGTCGGGTGGTGGCAGGTTGGTGACACATTGACGCGATGTAACTCAACAAAAACCCTTCATGGACAGCAATTTAAGCGGCGTTCGTGACAGACGAACAAAACGAGACTGAAACTCGAGTGCCAATTCATCGCCGCCAGGCTCTGGTTGCGAATCATGCCGGCGAGCCGCCCAGATCTTACACACCAGAGGACCTTGGTCCCAATTCGGGGATGGCTCTCGTGTTAGTCACGATTCAATATTCTCTTGCAAGAGCGCCCGTCGTTATTTTGAGTTGTGAACCTACTCCACGACTTGGCGTCCAACTCCGTCCCCCCCCCCATGGCAAAAGGACCGGGATGGTCGCCCACAAACTTGCTGCCAACTCGTCGGCAGTGATTCAAGCGAGCCCGACCCTGCTGCTGCTGCTGCCGCCGATGATGCTGCGACACTTCAATGTTGACACCAGTCGCGACTGCTGCTTGCGCTGCTGACGAGTAGGAACCACGCGTGCAGTGGCGGCGATGCTGCTGCTGCTGCAACAACGACGACGACAACTCTGCACGCCCGCGCGTGGGCTTGAAAGGAAGAGAGACATACAGGCGACGCGACGGGCAATGACCCTTTATCATGGCACACACACAGAGCACGTGGTGCCAAGTTCACCACCAAGAATCGATTCTTTATTCGCGTCTCTCGCCCGTGGTGCGTTGCTTCCCCGTTGCGTTGTCGCGTTCGCGAGTGGTGGTGGTGGCGGGGGACTTTGTGTTCGCCCCGTGCGCCCGAGTCGGCGCGCACTCCTCGCAGCTGCGCGGGGCGCGGAGCTGCTGCGTGCTGCGTGAGACTGCTGCGTGTTGCGTGAGACTGCTGCGTGTTGCGTGAGACTGCTGCGTGTTGCGTGAGACTGCTGCGTGTTGCGTGAGACTGCTGCGTGCTGCGTGAGACTGCTGCGTGTTGCGTGAGACTGCTGCGTGTTGCGTGAGACTGCTGCGTGAGACTGCTGCGTGTTGCGTGAGACTGCTGCGTGCTGCGTGAGACTGCTGCGTGTTGCGTGAGACTGCTGCGTGTTGCGTGAGACTGCTGCGTGTTGCGTGAGACTGCTGCGTGTTGCGTGAGACTGCTGCGTGCTGCGTGAGACTGCTGCGTGCTGCGTGAGACTGCTGCGTGCTGCGTGAGACTGCTGCGTGCTGCGTGAGACTGCTGCGTGAGACTGCTGCGTGCTGCGTGAGACTGCTGCGTGCTGCGTGAGACTGCTGCGTGAGACTGCTGCGTGCTGCGTGAGACTGCTGCGTGCTGCGTGAGACTGCTGCGTGCTGCGTGAGACTGCTGCGTGAGACTGCTGCGTGCTGCGTGAGACTGCTGCGTGCTGCGTGAGACTGCTGCGTGCTGCGTGAGACTGCTGCGTGCTGCGTGAGACTGCTGCGTGCTGCGTGAGACTGCTGCGTGAGACTGCTGCGTGCTGCGTGAGACTGCTGCGTGAGACTGCTGCGTGCTGCATGAGACTGCTGCGTGCTGCGTGAGACTGCTGCGTGAGACTGCTGCGTGAGACTGCTGCGTGAGACTGCTGCGTGCTGCATGAGACTGCTGCGTGCTGCGTGAGACTGCTGCGTGAGACTGCTGCGTGAGACTGCTGCGTGCTGCGTGAGACTGCTGCGTGAGACTGCTGCGTGAGACTGCTGCGTGCTGCATGAGACTGCTGCGTGCTGCGTGAGACTGCTGCGTGAGACTGCTGCGTGAGACTGCTGCGTGAGACTGCTGCGTGAGACTGCTGCGTGCTGCATGAGACTGCTGCGTGCTGCGTGAGACTGCTGCGTGAGACTGCTGCGTGAGACTGCTGCGTGCTGCGTGAGACTGCTGCGTGAGACTGCTGCGTGAGACTGCTGCGTGCTGCATGAGACTGCTGCGTGCTGCGTGAGACTGCTGCGTGAGACTGCTGCGTGAGACTGCTGCGTGCTGCGTGAGACTGCTGCGTGAGACTGCTGCGTGAGACTGCTGCGTGCTGCGTGAGACTGCTGCGTGAGACTGCTGCGTGCTGCGTGAGACTGCTGCGGGGATCGCTGGGGCGGTCTGAATCGACGGCTCGATTCAGACCGCCCCGGCGATTCCGTCTCCACGGCGACCGAGTCAACGGCGCGGCCCGGAGGATGCAAACAACAACGGCGCGAACAACACTCACAACACTAAACATCAACACTGACAACACTCACAACACTAAACAACAACACTCACAACACTCACAACACTCACAACACTCACAACACTAAACATCAACACTCACAACACTAAACAACAACACTCACAACACTCACAACACTAAACATCAACACTCACAACACTCACAACACTAAACATCAACACTCACAACACTCACAACACTAAACAACAACACTCACAACACTAAACAACAACACTCACAACACTAAACATCAACACTCACAACACTAAACATCAACACTCACAACACTAAACATCAACACTCACAACACTAAACATCAACACTCACAACAACACTCACAACACTAAACATCAACACTCACAACAACACTCACAACATTAAACATCAACACTCACAACAACACAGACATTAACAAAACTCACATTAGCACCACTAACAACAACATTAACAACGCAAACATTAAAATCAAGAATATTAACAACACGAACACAAGACATTAACAGCACTCACAACACAGACATTAGCAACACTAACAGCAACAAAGCAGCCATTAACAGCACGGACAACAACACCACGAACGTCAACAACAACAACACCACGAACGTCAACAACAACAACACCACGAACGTCAACAACAACAACACCACGGACACAACACGGACATGACGTCACGGCTGGCGGAGGAGATGGCGCTGAGCCAACAGCACGAGGAGATGTAAGGGTCAACGTGACCATCGTGACCTCATACTCACTGCCGTGACCTCACCTTGACCCCCCCGTGACCTCACCCCCACCACCTCACCATCGTCACCTCACCCCCATGACACCACCACCACCCCCTTGACCTCATACTCACTCCCGTGACCTCATCTTGACCCCCCCGTAACCTCACCCCCCCAACCTCGTGACTTCACTCCCCACCCCGTGACCTCACCATCACCCCCCCCCACCTCACCCTTACCTCGTGACCTCCCCCTTACCCCTGACCTCATCCTCACGCCCCGTGACCTCACCCCGCCGTGACCCCCCCCCCCCCCCCGCGTGACCAGCCTGGCGCGCCGGGCGGTGGCGCTGAGGGCCGCGGGGCGCCTCTGCGACTCGCGCGCCGAGGGCCTCCCCCGCGCCCTCGAGGCGGCAGAGGCGGCGGCGGCCAAGAGGTGCGCCATGCTGCAGGTGGGACGCGCTCGTGCCAGGCTGGGTGCACCTTGAGGCGACGTGAAGTGTGGAAGGATCTGGCTGCTGGCAGGAGGTCACGGGACAGGCCCAGGTGCCGTGGGTTGATCGAGATGACTGGCAGATGCCGCACCTGTGCTAACTCGCTGTGCTTTAGCCACACGGCGCTCTGCTCGTTGTTGTGAGCGGCACTCCTCTGACCTCCGTTGATCCTGAATGGCAACTGCCTCCAATCGACCAGTAGCCTCCTTCACGAGCCTCCCTCCACAGAGGCCGCTCTTGACACCGCTGGTACCGGTGTTTGACAAGTCCACTCAGCTCCACGTCCTCCTGTACCACAACACTCCATCTCTTCTCTAGTCCGTGCCGCGCCCGTTTCGCCCCCTCGATCCGGCCGAGCAGCAGCTGCTTGGGGATCCGGCCGCTGGGCGTGGGCGACATGACCCAGCCTCCTCGCTTGCAAGGAGCTCATCGATCTCATCGATGGGACCGTGTCCAGATCTCTCACAAAGCTGCGAGCTGCTCACACAATCCAGTCTGGTTAAATCCGGGATGGATGGTAGGCAGGCGAGCCTGATTGTTGAGAAACGGCACGGGTGTTACTTTAAAGGGCTCCACGTTTCACAAATAATAATGGACGAAATAACCGTGGCCGAGAAGCCCCGGGGGAGGTTCGTATGGAGCGACAGGCCAGATAATGAGCAGGTAACGAGCAGGTAACGAGCAGGTAACGAACACGCAGCGTGACGTCACCGACGAGACCTCCGCCGCTGAGCGTGGCCACAAGCACCCTGCCCAGGTACAAAGAGCTCTCTCCACTCTCCCCACCACTCTCCCCACCACTGCCCCGTCACTCGGGGGGAGTGGAGGCGCGAGTGTTTTATGACATAGAACAGCTCGGTAGGTCGGCACTTCTTTGTTGTGGTGGAGCCCCCCCCCCCCTCCACGTGTTTGTAGCACGCGCTCCAGGCTCAGCGGTGTAGTCTCCTCCACCTTGCCCCGTGTTCTCCGAGTTGAAGGGTTTCCCCTCTCCCAAGACCTCAGAAATGCTCAGCAAACCTATTTCTGGAGATCGTATGGAATCACACCATTCTTTCTCTGAAGAATGGCAATAGGTGTGGTGCTGCAAGTTACCTTGTTGATGGCATTAAGAGTGATTTGTGGATGTGCTCCTAAAGCTACACACATATACCGCTAGACACAGCGACACCGCACACACATAGCCAGACACAGCTACACCACACACACAGCTACACCACACACACACACAGCTACACCACACACACAGCTACACCACACACACAGCTACACCACACACACAGCCACACACAGCTACACCACACACACAGCTACACCACACACACAGCTACACCACACATACCGCCAGACACAGCTACACACACACACAGCCAGACACAACTACACCACACACACAGCCAGACACAGCTACACCACACACACAGCTACACCACACATACCGCCAGACACAGCTACACACACACACACAGCCAGACACAGCTACACCACACACACAGCTACACCACACACACAGCTACACCACACATACCGCCAGACACAGCTACACCACACACACAGCTACACCACAAACACAGCTACACCACACACACACATACCGCCAGACACAGCTACACACACAAACAGCCAGACACAGCTCCACCACACACACTGCCAGACACAATCGGTCACTGCCCGCGTGTCCTTTAGGCTGTGGACGCAGCAGAGCATCGTCTGAAGACGCGCATTGACGCATCGTCCCGCGCAGACATCCTCACCCAGCAGGTGAGCAAGTGTGAGTGAGGAGGGGTCCTGCAGGTGAGGGGGGGGGTCCTGCAGGTGAGGGTGAGGTGAGGTCCTGCAGGTGAGGGTGAGGAGGGGTCCTGTAGGTGAGGGTGAGGTCCTGCAGGTGAGGGTGAGGTGAGGAGGGGTCCTGCAGGTGAGGGTGAGTCCTGTAGGTGAGGGTGAGGTGAGCAGGGGTCCTGCAGGTGAGGGTGAGGTGAGGAGGGGTCCTGCAGGTGAGGGTGAGGTGAGGAGGGGTCCTGCAGGTGAGGGTGAGGAGGGGTCCTGTAGGTGAGGGTGAGGTGAGGTCCTGCAGGTGAGGGTGAGGTGAGGAGGGGTCCTGTAGGTGAGGGTGAGGTGAGGTCCTGCAGGTGAGGGTGAGGTGAGGAGGGGTCCTGCAGGTGAGGGTGAGGTGAGGTCCTGCAGGTGAGGGTGAGGTGAGGAGGGGTCCTGCAGGTGAGGGTGAGGTGAGGAGGGGTCCTGCAGGTGAGGGTGAGGTGAGGTCCTGCAGGTGAGGGTGAGGTGAGGAGGGGTCCTGCAGGTGAGGGTGAGGAGCACTGCGGGTAATGGTGAGCCCGTGGCGCAATTTACCCGCGTGACACTTACCTCTGTCCGACTGTGAAATGTTCCCTCGAGTTTGTTTATTGGTCGTGGACATGGCCGCGTGATTGGCATCTCAGAGCTGTGTGTGTGCTCACATTCGGCCGCGGCATTGGATTGGCTTTACTCGATGTGCCGTGGACTTGCTTCGATGCCTCCATTGAATGTTCAGAGTTCACAGCGGCTCAGTGCTGTGTGGGCCATGGTCTGATGGGTGCTGTCCCTTGCTGGCCGCCACTTTGACATTTTCGTCCTGTGCTCAGCAACTGTGTTAACGCAAAAATCTACGTACGTACTTGTGTGTGCACGTGTGTGCGCGTGTGTGTACATGTGTGTGTGTACGTGTGTGTGCACGTGTGTGTGTGTTCCAGTACACAGGGGAGCGGTAGTGTGTTGGTTCGTGCACCGCGCCACGAACCTGGCGACCCGAGTTACATTCCCACTCACAGCCATCATCGGTGACAAATATCTGACCCGGTCCCGAGCCTCCCCTAGGTCAACTCAGCCTTAACCGAGTACCTAGTGTGTAAACATCAGCACTGGGGAGACGAAGATGGTCGGGCGTGGTGATTGGCCACTAACCCCCGTCGCGGTGCTGTGCCGGCCTTAACAGGTGCTTGCTGACAGCACTTGCCCCAACAGCACGTTAGAGGCTATATGGGGGGTCTTTGTCTGTGTCGCAGTGCAGGTACTGGGCGTCGGTGGAGCGCCTCCTGCCGGACTGGGAAGGCGTCCTGCACAGCCCCGACGAGGCCTCCACTCGGGCCGAGGGCGATGCCCCCACCGCCCCACAGGGCAACGCTTGACCCCCCCACCAACTACAACAATAAACAAAAACACTTCGTGTACATTTGGCATTCGCGACATTCTGATAGCACGAAGGCGATCCACAAGCACGTCGTGTTCCACAGACGAATAGTTTGCGCTCGGCATCAGCGACGTGTGATTTTCCCCAATGAAATCATTTGCAGGTAAATCGGTAAATAAACGTGACATTTTACTTCCAACTGAGTACTCTGGATAGTATCCACAGGCCGTCAGTTAGATCTCCCAGCGTGGCAGTCGAAACTGTGATCACGTTTCTCAACTCACACCCCGCCGCCTCTGTTCCAGCCAGCAGCTTAAACAGCGACCCCACTGCGGGTGGTGGCTCGGCAGGCAGGTCACGCTTGGTGGGGTCACGTGTGGACGATCCCCATCTCCCTCTTCCAAGATGTCCTGCCAAGTGTGGACAAGTCGGCCAGATGCCGTCAAGGGGAGACCTCGAGTGCCGCTTCTGGTGGCAGCCCCCTGCACGAGCGAGCAATGCAGTCACAGCGTGCAAGCGGTCGCAGGGCCTGGCGGTCTTCACCGTTCACTCTTGTGGGAGGAAGACCATTTGCCCCCCCCCCACCTCGAGCTGGGTGTGCCACTCGCTTGCGCCCTATGCCCTCCCCCCAACTTTCACACGGTCGCAGCACTGACCACCAAGCCGCCAGGTGTGATGAAATAGAATGTTCCTTTATTGTGAACATGTTTAAACACGCTCATAAATATGGCTAGATTATGAAGATGCTTAATTACAAACTGGAAAAAAGTTATAGCGAGTTTCGTCGATAATAAAAAAGAAAGAACGTGAACGTTGACACGACGCGGGCGACACGGGCCGGGCATTCACAGGAGTGGAATGGAGTTGGTTTACGTTTTGATTATTGCACGAGAAAACACGAGACCACCCTGCCCCTAGGTCCCACCACCGCCCCCCCAACCCACAAAACCCCCTGTCCCTGGGTTCTGGTAACCCCTGATTAACCCCTCGCCCTGTCCCAGAACCCACAAATCCCTCCCTGATTGCCCAGGACCTCTGGGTGTATGAGAGAGCGGTTTTCTTTTGCGAGCGACCGAGTGGTTCATGTGAACACCGCTGCAATCACCAAGCGGGAGGCTCCAGGCCAGCGCCTCCTCCCCCCCCCGCCTCCCAGAGGCACTTCTTCTTGAGTTTCCCTTTGTTCCTGGTCACGTGCAGAGTGAGCTCAATTTGTTAACGAGCCCAGAGAAGCCGACACAAGAGGCCTACTGCGGCTGCACAAGGCAGCAGAGTGAGCGATTCCCTCCTCCCAGCCCCAGCGATTTGTTCAGGTAGGCAACCTCAGCTCACGCATCTTGGCACGTATGCATGGCAGTGTGTGCGAGCGTGTTGGGTGGTGCGTTTGTTGGCACAGTGGGAGCACGGGTGGTGCATCTATCAGTCATCGCAGTCAACCCGTGACATCTGGGTCTGTCCTGTGACCTGTGGGTGAAACCCTCACATTTTACGTGGTCTCCCAACCTATAGGGTATGTGTAGCAACGTGTGTGTGGGTATAGCTCATGGTGTGTGCAACAATGTGTGTGTGTGTATGATGTGTGTGTATATATCAAGAAATTGTATCACGGTGTGTGCACCCGTCTGTGTATCAGGGTGTGTGTATGTATCATAGGCAGCTCCTAACTGTCCCGGTGCACACACCACCAGCTGCCTGGTTCCTCATGGCCACTTGTGTTTGTCCACTAACAGTGGCTTATTTTGTAAACGTGAAACAACTGTGTGGACTCGATTTTGTTTCGAGACTGAACAAAATAGCATGAATAAAAAAAATAATCTTCACCCCTTTATGGCACCATGCTGTACAACACACCCACGACGGAGGGCGATTCAGCAGCTGAGAGTCGAGTTATTTCCAACGGACTCATTGTTTGCCTCCTATCGCTGACCATGAGGCCACGAGAGGCCACTCGAGTCCATGGTTGAGCTGTCTGAAGTTGGCAAAACGCATCTCTGACATTCGCGAGTTCTTGCTCCGCGGCCGCAGCTTTCTCATTTGCCCATCTCTGGCGGTCGTCCCCAGATCTGGTTCTTACATTGCCTTCTCAGTTGCTTGTAGTGTTGGTCAGACCCTGCATGCCGTGCTTTGCATTTCTCGTCAATTAGGCTCCATGCGTCGTCACTGATCCACTCTCTTTTTTGATATTGCTACGCATTCCAAGGCAGGTCTTGGGCGGCATTGTTGACTGAGTCTCGAAGCTGGTCCCAGTCTGTCAGCCATTCGTTTTGGAGGGCTAACAATTGGTTGTTAATGGCGACTATGAATTGCTGTTTGAATGCCGGGTCTTTAAAGTTTTTTGATGTTGTAGCGGGAAGACGGAGACAATAATCCTACCGGATAATCGTTTCAGTCCGATACCGATAGTTTTAATAACTGGGCCGATCCGTGTTGAACTCCATGCTCCAGTAAACCGTGCAAAAGTTTGCAAAGCTTTCCACCTGGAGTTGATGAGTATATATATATGGTCGATTTCTTTCTGTGCGGCTGCTGGACAATGGTGCGGCGCTGCAACCAAGAACCACATTTTCGAAGCCCATTTCCTGCACAGAAATACAGGTGCCTTTCTGAGTTATCATTGGAGATGCCGCTGCCATGTGGGCCGATCACGTTCCGGAGTCCGTCTCCGAAGCACGTGATGAGCTCCCGTGGTTTTGTGACGTTTCGCGACTGTTCCAGAGACTTGTAGAAGTGGTCTTTGATGTTGTCGGGTGCTTTTTTCGTTGGTGTATATGCCACGGCAATGGACAAATCGCCTAGATTGTGCCTGAATCTAGCAACCTACTTCAAAATCCCCCTCCCTAATGGACCTGGTCCACAGCTCTCACAGACACAGGTCTCATTCTCCCTGGGCCAGGGTCCCTGTCCCCCGGAATCTGATTTCCCATTGACCGAGTCCCGCTGGTCCCAGGACCTATTCGTAACTGTCCTGGTCTCGGGTACTATCAGCCCTGGTCTGAAGTCTCATCTATATTTACACCTGGCCCTGGTTACAACACCTTTTGGCCCTAGGTCTCATCTCCCCTGGACTCGGCCCCCCTGGGCTCTGGTCCCTGGTCACCAGATCCCTCTTGCTGCTCTTCAGGTCGCCCCAGCAGACCCTGAGGCCGCCCCCCCCCCGCCCTGTGCCCCCCCCTCCTTTCCCAATCAAACGAGCGACTCGGTGCTCTCGGCGCCGTCCGCCTCTTCCCCCGCGCCTGCCGAGCCATTGCGCTCGCTCGCCATGCCGCCGTCCTCCCGCGTGCCGATCAGGCTCAGCGCCGCGCGATACACAAAGTGGTATTGTTCCTGTGGGGGGTGGGGGGCGGGGGGTGGGGGGCACAAGGCGAGCGAGGGGTGGAAGGGGAGGAGGGAGACGGAGCGAGAGACCGAGTGAGAGGCCGGAGAGATCCGACTCGCCGCTCGTGCCGGCGCCAGCCTCCACGCTGCCCACACTTCACCGTGAAGGGGATTAACGCGGTGAAGGTGACGCGGTGAAGGTGACGCGCTGTGATCGCGGTCGCGTTGACGCGCGCCGCTTCATCCTCGCGGCGGTTTTACGACGAAGCCAATTCCAAGGATGGGAGGGTGGGGGAGGGTGGGATTTGCATGTATTAGTCACTCAAATGGCACACAATGCCGCCGACATTCTTAACATCCCGAGCGTGAAGACTGGGGAAAGAAGATAGGGAGAGAAGAAACACATGAAAGACATGAAAGAGAGAAAACATTAATGACGTCACGGATGCAACAGCTAATGACAACGACAAAGACAAATATCCCCCGTGGAGCCTTAACACTGTTGGGGAAAGTGCTGTTGCGGAGCACCTATTTATTCAAGGTCGGCACGGAACACAAGGGGGTGGGTGGCCAGCATAACGCCCCGCCGCCTTTGTCTCTCTCGTGGCGAAGTTTGCACACCGCGCCAGGTACTCCATTGAGCCCGAGTCGACCGAGGGGCGGGGGAGGCGTGAGCCCTCGCGCCGGCACTCACGATGTCGGTGAAGACGCCGGGCCGCATCAGGTTCACCATCTTGCAGACCTGGAACACGTCCACGGCTTCCTGCTCCTCCAGCTGGTGCAGCAACGTCGTGAGCGCGCAGAACGTGCCGGCCGACACGCCGCCAAATCTGCACGCACGCAGGCAGGCGCCAGGCGGCAGGCGCCAGGCACTTGTCACAGGGGCAAAGCTTTCTGAGCGTCACCGTACCCCAAGTTGTGATGCTGCCACCGCCGCACCTCATCGCTACCAACGGCAGATCCCGCAGCTGCTGTAGGGTCTAAGGGTTTGGGGTGTGGGAGATGAGTGTGGGGGAGCGGTGTATTACATGAGGGGCTATGGGTTAGGGTAAGAGGGTTAAGTGTGGGGCTAAGGGGGGGGGGGGTTCAGTGTGGGGGGGGGGGGGTGGCGGTCGGCTCACTCGTCGTGCAGGATGGTGGGGCCGTCGCGCGTCGCCGCCTCCTCGCGGATCACGTTGATAATCTCGAAGGCGTTGCTCAGGGGCCCCTCCGTGTCTGGCCACCGTGGGCACTGGTAGTGCCGCACCTCCAGCACGTAGTCGTCCTGCAAACACCGTGGCGCACACACACACACCTCGTCACACAAAGACAAAGCATGTATGCGCGTGCGTGCGTGTGTACATGCGTGCGTGTGTGTGCGGGCACGCGCGTACGTGTGTGTGTGTACGTGCCTGTGTGGCCTCCAGAATGAAGTCGTGGATCACGAGCTGCTCCTCGTTAGCCAGGCACAGCCGGTCCTCGTTAATCAGCGTCACCGTGAAGTCATCGCAGTTCATGGCTTCCTCACGGCCCGGCCAGTACACACTCTCATCCTCCGCCTGACACACGCACAAATACACACAAAGACCCCCCCCCCCCACACCGGAGAGCCTTTCAACAGGTTGTTTAGGCAAGTGCTGTTGGCGAGCACCTGTGAAGGCTGGCACGGTACACGAGGGGGTGGGTGACCAACACCACGAGTGGCCTCCTTTGTCTCTCCAGTGCCGATGTTTACACACCGCACCAGGTACTCATTTATGAGGCTGAGTCTACCTAGGGGAGGCCCAGGAACGGTCCAGATAATCGTCAGCAGTGCTGACCGTGAGCGGGAATCGAACTCGGGTCGCCAGGGTTTGTAGCACAGCGTGCTGACCGCTGCACCACCGCTCCCCACACGCACACCAACACCCTCCATTCGCCACCAAGCGAAGGTGACGTCACACACACACATGGTCACGCACCAGGCCCTGCCCGTCGGGCAGCATGACGATGATCTGCGCGTTGTGGTCCCAGATCATCCTCCAGAAGTCTCGCGTTGTGTGCGGCAGAGGGTGCTGCGTCACGATGAACTCGTTGCTGCGGTAATAGCCCTGCGGACGCACACACAGCGCATGCACAGCACACGCATACAGCGAACACACACACACAACATGCAAAGGGGCAGCGGTGACGGGAAAGAAGTGACGGGCGAGCGATGATGATGGAGACGCGATGGCCGTGCGGTACCGTGGTGTCAATGTCGGCGACGCGTACCGTGATGTAGGAGGCGTTGATGTAGTCGGTGCCCTCCAGTCCGGACAGCGACGAGAGGCCGACTCGCGATCGCTCCACTGTGGGGCGCAGACACAACAGCCGGGACACGTCAGCGACACAACTACGATGTCAGCGACACAACTACGACGTCAGCGACACAATTGCGACGATAGCGACGAGAGTGACGACGGCGTGCAGACCCTGCCCAGCGCATCGCACCTGGCACGATGGAGGAGTTGCGGTTCTTCTCCTTGTTGCAGTGTTTGGTGGCGCTGAAGAATTCCGACTGCCGCACAGAGCACTGCGTCACAAGCTGCAGGAACATGGTGGGGGGGGCGAAGCAGGGGGGAGGCGGGTGCACGGTGAGCGAGGTGTCTGCCGGTCCCGACCACGAGTGCGATGGCACGATGCCGTCCACTCGCCGGGAGGGGGCCGGGCGGCTCGCAAGTCTGAGCGATGAGCCGACGCCGCTGAAATCGCGCGTTTGAACAGAGGCAGCCACCTGCCATTAAACTGGGTTCTCAAATGGAGTGAGCTGACGCTCTCTGCCCAGTCACCATTGACTCACCCAGAGATCTATAGACTCGGATAGACTGAGTTGTGATTAAACTGGCTTTTTCAAGCAGAGTGAGCTGATGCTCTCTGTCGAAATTATGCACTCCCAGAAGTCACGTAGGTAAAAAATATAAAATAAATTAAAATGATATTTTATATTTTTTACCTACGTGACTTAACCGAAAAAAACAAAGAGTATGGATCCTTGCAGTCACGAAAACTTCAAATCTAGAATTTCATGTAGCTGTCGGGATGTGTTAAAAATACTTTTGTTTATGTGGAGGGGCAGGCAGGCAGGCATCCGAAGAAGGATGCGATTGCTTGTTTATTTTGTTGTGTTTATAAAGGTAAACAAAGCAAACGACAAGGTCGGCCAGGATTTCCATGGCGACCGCAGGGGGGGGCACGCACGCGGAACTGCTTCTCAAGGTGGGTGTTCTCGGTCGCCGTGACAACGGGCCGTGTCACGTCGGTTGCCGCGGGTGACAGGATGGAGGTGTAGTAGGCGTGGAGCTGGCCCGGGGCCACCTCCGTCTCGCCCGTCAGCACCGCCTCCAGCAGCGACTCGTGGATAAATGTGTACTGCTCCTGCGGGGGCAGCACGGGGTCAGCAAGAGGGGCAGCGAGAGGGGGCAGCGAGAGGGGCAGCAGGGCAGGGTGGGGGAGGACAGCACAGTGGTGATACAGGGGCCAGTGCAATGGTCGCAAACACAGCCGTGCGGGGTCAGCGGGGTGGGGTAGGTGGCCCCCATGGTCCACGCCGTGTGTGCACGTTTTGAGTGCGTGCGGAGTGGTGGAGCAGCGGTTAGCGCGCTGCGCTACAAATCCAGTGACCCAGGTTCAGTTCCCGCTCTCGGTCAACACTAGTGACGATTATCTGAACCGGTCCTCGGCCTCCAACAGGCTGTTAAGGCTACACGGGGGTCTTTGTCTTTGTGTGCGCGCACGTGCGTGCGCATACCTCTGTCTGCACCAGGTAGTTGCGCTGCGTGCGGATGTGCTTGAGGAACCCCAGCACGTTGACGGTGCCCGAGTCCCGGATCTGCTGCAGCATGGAGTCGAGGACGATGTAGGTCCCCGTGCGGCCAACGCCCGCGCTGCGCCCGCGACACGACGCCTCCGTTACACGAGCTCACGTGACCGACCGTAATGGCGTCGCCTCCCTCGACCTCATCAAATGACCCCTTTTCCCCCACCCCTAACCACGGCCACACCACGATGACCCCTCTCCCCGATGACCAAACCAAGCGAACCCTCGCTCGGGGCGTGCGACTCCTCGCCGCCCGCGATCGCCCGACCTCTCGCCCCGATCGCGCGAACCCTGAACCCCGACCAAACCGCTCGTCGGTCACCGCGGCCCCAACACCGACGGACGGACCGACGAGCTCGTGAACCTGCGTGGGCGGACGCGTCGGCTCATGCCAGAGCAGGCGCCGCCACGGCAGCCGCCGGGGGCACCGTTGGCGCGAGCACCTGCAGTGGACGACGACGGGGCCCATGAGGTCGGTGCGCGTGGCCGAGGACTTGCGGACGAAGGTGAGCACGGGCAGCGCGTAGTCCGGCGTGCCCATGTCGGGCCACTGCGTGTAGTGGAACTGCACCACGAGCCGCTCGTTCTGACGGCCGCGGGCAGAGCTCTTCTGCGACGTGCCCTGTGCCGCACACAGGGAGGTGAGGGGGGGCGGGTGGGCAGGCGGTGGTGGGGGTGCAGGCGGGCGGTGGTGCGGGGTGTGTGATGCACGCGCGCCACGATGCAAACACACGGACGTGTGCGAGGACACGCGCGACCGCACACACGTGCGACAATATACACAAATGTACACGACTGATTCATATCGATTCTTACAGCCCGAGATACGTGCGTGTATTTTGTTAACACGCACTATAACGCATCACCGCAGCGCACCCAATCAAATTACCACCAAGACAGAGATACCCCGTGTAGCCTTTAACAGACTGAACAAGTACAGTTAAGCGAGCACCTATGAAGTCCGGCACGGCACAATAGGGGGTGGGGGCCAGCACCACGCCTGGCCACCTTTAAATTACTTATGGCGACGTTTACACATCGCACCAGGAGAGGCCCAGGACCGGTTCAGAAAGTCGTCACTGGTGTTGGTGGCCGTGAGCGGGAATCGCAGTGAGCCAACCACTGTGCCACCGGTCCCCCGTACCACAGCTCACAACACTCACAACACTCACAGCACGTATTCTACACGGCATCGCCACGCACGCGATCGAAACACGCACGGGAGTGAGACACGGACGAGAGAGAGACACGGACGAGATGGAGACACGGACGGGAGAGAGACATGGATAGAGAGAGAGACACGGATAGAGACACGGACGGGAGAGAGACACGGACGAGAGGGAGACACGGACGAGAGAGAGACACGGGACGCACCTTGCGCAGCTTGGTGTTGCGGATGGTGAAGTGGCGCACAGTGTAGCAGGCGAGCGTGCGGGTGCTCTTGAGCGTTACCAGGATGTTCCCGTACTCCTCGTTGTTCTCCGACGGCCAGTACTGGTCGCACTTGCGCTGCACACGCAGCACACGCAGCACACGCAGCACACGTCACATCGCCGCATCGTCAAGGGTGCGTCGACTTAGGGGAGGCTCAGATATCCATCATCGATGTCGGGCCACCGCTCTCGACAGACACGAGCACACGTGTGTGCACAAAGACAAAGACCCCCCTCCCCGCCTTAATAAACTGTTGGGGAAAGTGCTGTTAGCGAGCACCTATGAAGGCCGGCACGGCACACGAGGGGGTGGGTGGCCAGCACCACGCACGGCCGCCTTTGTCTCCCTAGTGCCGATGTTTACACACTTCAGCAGGTACTCATTTGAGGCCGAGTCGACCTAGGGGAAGCCCATAACCGGTTCAGATAATCGTCACTGGTCTTGGCTGTGAGTGGGAATTGAACTGAGGTCTCTGGGTTCGTAGCGCAGCGGCGCTAACCGCTACACTACGCACGTGTGTGCACGCGCATACGCACGTGTGTACACGCACTTGTACAAACACACACACAAGCACACACATGTACAGACACACGTGTGTACAGACACACACGTGACGCCGGAGTTGTTGTGATGCCGGTCACACAATTTTACTCGTAAAGCAGAGACGCACCCGACCCTTCTCCACGAGATTGGTGATCATCACGATGACGCCCGTGTTCTGCTCCCAGACCATCCTCCAGAAATCGGCAAACGTGGCCTTGAGGGGTCCCTGGGCCGCGATGTAGGCCTTCTGCCGGTTGTAGCCCTGCACGGCGGCACAACGCCGCCACAGAGACAAGAGGGACACCCCCGCCCCGGTGTAGCCAAGCCCGTGGGCCCATGTGGACCGTACATGGCGTCATTGGCAACCCGGTGGTGGTGGTGACATCACCACGGCACTTGTGCCAGGCTAGGTAGCACTTGGAGGCCTTCAGGTGGAGTGTAGCCAGCTCTCGTTGCTGGCAGGTGGTCGCAGATCAGACCCAGGTACCATGGGTAGACCAAATGCAAAGACTGACAGATGCACCACCTGTGCCCTTACTGTGCAAACTCGCGGCATTTTATCCGCCCGGCTCTCCGCTCATTGCGAGCGTCGCTCCTCCGCTGTGGCTGGAGGGTGACTGCCTCCGACTGCCCAGGAGCGTCATTCACGAGCCTCCTCCTCCACAGAGGCCGATCTTGACACTGCCGGTACCGGTCATCGGGCGCTCCCGTTTCCTCCCGCATGTGAGCACTCATTGATTGGCTTAAAATGCCTACGTGTAGAGAGAGATCAGTAGAGCTTGTGCCAGCTCACTGTGTGGCGTCTGCCTTGCCTGCTCATCAGTGGTTCCTCCTGCTGGTGCCTCGGAGTCGTCCTCTCTCTAAGAGAGCGTGCGACACTTACTGAGTGGCGACACTTACTGAGTGGCGACACTTACTGAGTGGCGACACTTACTGAGTGGCGACACTTACTGAGTGGCGACACTTACTGAGTGGCGACACTTACTGAGTGGCGACACTTACTGAGTGGCGACACTTACTGAGTGGCGACACTTACTGAGTGGCGACACTTACAGAGTGGCGACACTTACTGAGTGGCGACACTTACTGAGTGGCGACACTTACAGAGTGGCGACACTTACAGAGTGGCGACACTTACTGAGTGGCGACACTTACTGACAGCGCCGACTTACAAGTTCAAATTATTCTGACACAGGGACCTCATCCTTTCACTCCTCTTGGTTCTCGATGTAAAGCGGAATGATGGACCCCAGCCCTCCAACCCCACAGCCCCCCACCAGAGTGTGCATGTGAAGTCGGTGAACTCTCCTAGCAGCCACAAGCGGTCAAGCCGGGCTTCGTTGGCTCTCCAGGTGAGGTAATGAACTCTCAGCCCCTGACCAAGGTGGTAGTGGCAGTGATGGTGGCAGCAGTGGTGGTGATGGTGGCGGTGATGACGGTGGCGGTGATGATGGTGGCGGTGACAGCAGTGGTGGTGGTGATGGTGGCGCTGACGGCAGTGGTGGTGATGGTGGCGGTGACGGCAGTGGTGGTGGTGATGGTGGCAGTGACGGCAGTGGTGGTGGTGACGGTGGCAGTGCGGTGCTCACGTCAACGTAGTTGGCGTTGATGTAGTCGCTGTGCTTTGAATCCTTTCCCGGGAGCGGACGCAGACGCACGCGGCTGTGGTCGTCTGAGCAATGCGACACGCGCACACAGACACAGAGACGCACCTCCGATTAACACGATCGGCTACGTACGGTTCGAAATAAGTTCAACACGCACACATACAGGGTGTGCCGTGGCGGCCTTCGTAAGGTGCTCGCCGATGGCACTTGCCCCAACGGCCCGCGTGGGCTACGCGGGGGCTCTGTGTCTGTGTGTTTGTGCACACGTGGTGTGGTGCGAGGGGGGGGTGCGGTAGGAGCCGTACAGGCGACGATGTTGACGTAGCGGTTCTTGTGCTTGTTCTCCGGGTGGTTCGAGTGCTCCGCCGTGATTCCCAAGTCCGCCGTGCAGCGCTGCACCTCCTGCGGGGGATGGCCACAACACTAGCCGAATCATTATTGTTGTTCTTGTTACCGCTACGCTTGTTTTACCCGTAAAACCCTCGCCGAGTCTCAAGACTCTTCTTCAGGAGGGTCCTGCCATGTTTGCACAGTAGGGGGACGCTGATGCTGCGTGAACAACAAGTCAGTGATCTGTAGGCGATTTTTCAGCATTGGGATGTTTTGGCCGATACCGATTGGGTTTTTGGCCGATACCGATTGGGCTTTTTTTAGCTATTGGAGTGAGGCGAGGGGGGGGGAGAGGCAATGGGGGCGATCGCTCCCACCTAGAGACCCGGGATATCGGTGTTTTATTATTGATATTTACCGGAGACAAACACATCGACTGTTTATATTATTAATGTGGGCCCCGACTTAAAGCGCGTGACATTCTGGGACGGACACCCGGCTTTTGGGATGGCAACCTGCAGCTCTTTACCGACTGCTTCGTGACGTTTTGTGTGTATGTATGTATGTGTGTATTTGTGTAGGTATGTGTGTATGGGGAGTATGTGTGTGTGTATGTATGTGTGTGTGTATGTGTGTGTGTGTGTATTTGTGTAGGTATGTGTGTATGGGGAGTATGTGTGTGTGTATGTATGTGTGTGTATGTATGTGTGTGTGTATGTATGTGTGTATTTGTGTAGGTATGTGTGTATGGGGAGTATGTGTGTGTGTGTATGTATGTGTGTGTGTATGTATGTGTGTGTGTATGTATGTGTGTGTGTATGTATGTGTGTGTGTATGTGTGTAGGTATGTGTTTATGTATGTGTGTGTGTATTTGTGTATGTATGTGTGTATGGGGAGTATGTATGTGAGTATGTAAGTGTGTATGGGGAGTATGTTAGCACACTGCGCTACAAACCCGGCGACCCGGGTTCGATTCCCGCTCACGACCAACACCAGTGACGATTACCTGAACCGGTCCTGGGCCTCCACTACGAGTACCGTGCCGGCCTTCATAGGTGTTCGCTAACAGCACTTGCCCCAACAGTCTGTTACAGGCTATACAGGGGGTCTTTGTCTTTGTGGATGTATGTGTGTATTCACATGCATTGGCGGCTCTTGAAATATTGAGTTTTGTACCAAATTTGAAATAAAAAGGGTCTGCTTGTTATTTTGGTTGTCGACTCCCTGTTCTCGATCAGCCTCTGACCCCCTGACTCTGTTGACCTGACCTCAAACTCCTGGCTGAAGCTGTGCAGGGCACCCTCGTGCATCTCCCCGACGTGTCGGGCAAAGAGCTTCACTGGCAGCGCCTCGCCGTCCTCTACACACCACACGCACACACACAAAGACAAAGATCCCCCTGATAGCCTCAACAGCCTGCCGGGTCAAGTGCTGTACAGTGAGCACCTGTGAAGGGCGCCACAGTGCAAAGAGGGGGTGGTGGGGACAGCACCACGCCTGGCCGCCTTTGTCTCCCCAGTGCTGATGCTTTAATCGCTATACCATGATGCTGTGTGTTGTCATGTGGAGGAATTGACTACTATAATGAGCCAAGCATGTCTGTGTCCCGCGCGTGACGTCACTCCACATCGGCCAGCCCCCTTCATTAATACTCATGAACAGGTGACGTCCTCCACATGGACCCTCCCCCCCCTCATTAATATTAATTAGCAGCTGACGTCACTCCACATGGGGGGGCGAGGCGCCTCCTCCCCCCTCCTCAGCGTCAACTTACAACCCTCACTACGCAGGCAGAACCCTCACGTCACGCGATCACCGTAACGCTGTTGAGGCATCAAAGTAAAAAGGACGTCATGATGAACAAGGGATTATCACCTTTACGCTTTGGGTCTTTCAGTAAAGTCACGTAGGTATAAAATACAGCAGGCGAACAGTAGCTCGCTGTATCTTTTGACCTGAAGACGATTTCTCGTGTCGCGATCGAAACGTTGTGATTTTTTTTTTCTATCTACGTGACTTTACCGAAAGACCCAAAGAGAATGAATTCCTGCAGTCACGAAAGCTTTAAGTCAGGATTATAACCTTTAAATGAAATAGGTCTGTGTCACCGCGCCCTTACAAATTGCACACGAATTGATGCAATGAATATCACGTCGCGGTCTGCTTTTCGCTTGCAAGTTTCAGATTTACTGCAATACACCCGTCCTTGGATGGGCAAAAGGCTCGTAGAAAATGATATCTGGGTTTGTCCCGTGACCTCCGACCAGCAAGCCTTCTACACTTCACGTGACGGCCTCAACGTGCATCTAGCCTGGCACAATCTCCCTGGTGATGTCACCGCCTCTTGGTGGTGAATGTCAGCTGTTGTTGATGTTGTTGATGTTGTTGATGTTGTTGTGCATGTGTGCGCTGTATGCGTGCTCACCGGGGATGGGGATTGCGGGGAGGCCGGAAGGTGGCACCACGCGTGGGGAGCTGCTGTCCTCCACGTAGAAGTGCGCCGTCTGAAAACACTTCCTGTGGCACAACACGGCACCGCACCACCACACCGCACCACCACACGTTACCACAGAGCACCGCCACACCGCACCACTACACAACACGGCACCGCACCACCACACGTTACCACAGAGCATCGCCACACCGCACCACTACACAACACGGCACCGCACCACCACACCGCACCACCACACGTTACCACAGAGCACCGCCACACCGCACCACTACACAACACGGCACCGCACCACCACACCGCACCACCACACGTTACCACAGAGCACCGCCACACCGCACCACTACACAACACCGCATGTCACCACCACACCGCACAGTATTGTACAGCATCACCACAGAGCACCCCACACCGCACCGCATGTCACCGTCACTCCCCTTCTCTCTCCATCTCTGTCTCTCTGGCTGTGTGGGTGCCAGTACCTCCAGTACACGAGGATGGACAGCAGCAGCGCCAGGCACACGCAGGTAAGCGCCGACACGATCATCAGCGGAATCTTCCAGTCAGTGATGGGGCCACGAGCCAGGCCTTCGTGGGACTCGTTCACCATGCCTGCACCGCACCACAAAGCACCGCACCACACCGTACCATACAGCATCGCACCATATGCCACAACACAGCACTGCACCGTAGAGAGCCACACACAACAACACAGCACTGCACCATACAGCACCACACTACCCCACACAAAGACAAAGATCCCCCGTATAGCCTCAACAGACTTGGGGCAAGTGCTGTTAACGGACACCTATGAAGAGCCGAACGGTACCCAAGGGGATGGGTGGCCAGCACCGTGCCCTGGCGATGTTTACACACTGTACTAGGAACTCATTCAAGGCTGAGTCGACCTAGGGGAGACCCAGGACCGGTTCAGAAAATCGTCATAGCGCAACGCACTAACCGCTACGACACCGCTTCCCACGACTACCCCACACACGAAGACACATGCACACATGCACACACACACACCCACTCTCATACACACACACACTCATACACGCACACTCTCACACACACACACACACCCACTCTCATACACACACACACTCATACACGCACACACACACTCTCATACACACACACTCGCCGGAGACGGACGGCACCCACACCTGCATGAGTGCGCCCTCCGCCGGCACGCTCAGTGTCGTTCCGAACCCCGGGGTCCGGAACGGCGGCGGTCGCCCACATCCTGCGGTCGCCGCGGTCGCCGCGAGCGACGCCGACGGTGACGAGGGTTGCGAGGGTGGCGACGGTGGCGTTGGCGCCGACGGTGGCGAGGGTGGCGTTAGCGGCGACGGTGCCGACCGGCGCGGGCCGGGGAGTGGTGGGCAGCGCTGCGGGAACAGAGACGGCGCCGCCGCCGCTGCCCCCTTCTCCTCTGTCCGTCACGCCAGGCCCCGCCGCGGCCTCCGTGGTGTTCGCCGACGGGGCTGACGATGACCACGACAACAACGCAAGGCACAATGTGGATTTAAATCATTATCGTTGTTATTGTTATCATCATGCTCTCGCTCGTTTACCCGGAAGAGCGTCACTGAGCCTCAATACTCTTTTTCAGGAGGGCCTGTTTTTGCAGTAAAGGGGGGTGACGTCATTGCTGCTGCTGCTGTGTGATCCCAATTGAGCGATCTGTCGGTGATTTCTTAGCATTGGGATGTTCTGGAGGTTCCACTGTGTGTTTTGGGTTTAGCTACGGGAGGAGGAACCCGGAGGAAACCCACGCAGAACAGGGCGAGAGAACGTACAAACGTCGTGGTCGCGAATCGAACCCAGGCCCTGGTTGCCGTGGGCTACGTGCGTCTCCACTGCGGCGCCACCTTGCCAGCTCCGACGCGACCTCGGCTCAAGACGCAGTGGAGGGTCCAAGTGGGGGGGGAGATAAACCCCTCATCCCCCTCCCTCCCCTACTGACTTGAGATCCAATAATTGGAAATTGGTAGGGTATTGACGTTTGTAAAAGTAAATATATTTAATGTTTTTTTTATTATTAATGCAGGGCCAGAATTAAAACGCTTTCAATCTTGAGAGCGCCCCCCCGCCCTCCGGGAAGTTTATAGATCTGCCTCTATCCAGATTCTGCATAAAGACAGTGGCCATGTTCATTTTATAGAGACCGAGGCATAGAGTCTATGGGCCTCTATGTGAGTCTAAGGGTCTCTATGGGGTCTCTATGGGAGTCTATGGATCTCTATGTGAGTCTAAGGGTCTCTATGGGAGTCTATGGGTCTCTATGTAAGTCTAAGGGTCTCTATGCGAGTCTAAGGGTCTCTATGGGAGTCTATGGGTCTCTATGTAAGTCTAAGGGTCTCTATGCGAGTCTATGGGTCTCTATGGGAGTCTATGGCAGAGAGAGGAAGTCCGTCAAAGGCAGCAGCAGCAGCAGCAGAGAAGAGGAAGTCTTGAGCCTGGACGTGAACAGACGCAGGGAGTGGACAGCCTGAGCAGCGGAGGGAATGGAGTTCCCGACTCTGGGGGAAGCAGAAGAGAATGAGGACCTCCCGCTGAGCGAAGGTTATCTGGGAACTTCCACAGAAAGCCTTGGCGACGGGAGTGAGGCGTGCGTGTTACTGGGGTGAGGTGGTGTGGCTCGCCCTCGGTGTTGATCTCACCCTCGGTGTGGCTCACCCACGGTGTGGCTCATCCTCGGTGTGGCTCACCCAGGGTGCGGCTCACCCGTGGCGGTGGGGCTGCTCCATGCCGGCGCCAATGCAGAGGCCGTGCCGCGCGTGGTGCCCCCCCGGCGCCCCCCCGTCGCCGTGGTCACGCCGCTCCGCGTGGGAGGCGTCGGGCTCCGGGGGTGGGGAGGAGGCGAGGACCGGGATGCGGTCGTCACGGCGACCCACGCAGTTGCGGCCCCTGGGTACGCACAATCACCGGTCACATCCACGGGCGGCAATACTTGGCGATGCGCCGATTTCCGTTTCTTTCATCGTTGTTCCTGTATTTGTTTTGCTATTGTCACCGAGGTGACCCCAGGTCACTCATCTTGCGAATGAGACTTCTCTACGCTGGTCTCACGAATCCTCACCCGGTCATACAGTCACCTTGCAGCTCAAACGCTGTTGCTATTGGGCCTGGGCCCTGGTTGCTTGGTCCTGGGGTGAGGTCCGCGGCGTTGCTCTCTCTCTCTCCTCTCCCGTGTTTCCCTTCCCCGACTACCCTTCTAACCCCCACCTCTTCTTCGCTACTCGAGTTTCTCTGTCGATGGGACGGTTGCCTTGGGACGGCGTGTAAATCACTCTGGTGTGGTTGGTGAGAGGTGCCCCATCTTTAAATTGGATCTCTTGGCGTCACGTTAGGTCTCCACGCAAGTCTATTGGTCTCTCTGCAAGCCTCTGGGTCTCCACGCAAGTCTGTGGGTCTCCTCGCGGGGCAGCGCAACCCCTCTGTGTCAGGGAAGGGCCCAGGGAAGCGGATATCGCAGAACTACATTCGGCCAAACTTGAGCCGTCAGTGTCGAAATCATCGGATGTGATCCGAGGAATCGCTACACTCGAGGGCTGCGCTGGAGAATGGTTGGGCGAACGAAATCGGATTTCAGCTCCAGGATCTCAGCGGCACTGGCTCAGCGTCTCCGACACGGCCATTATGAACCGCCCCGTGCCACCCAGCCACCTCGACAGGCGTCGCATCGAACGCGACCCGGAAACTGCTGGCTAGTGACCCCGTGACCTCTCGGCCAGTCCAGCTGACGTCACCCACCTCCTCTGGTTGTCGCGGCGCTGCCGGTCGTAACGGGGACCGCGGGGGTGGGGGCTGCGCCGCTCCGCGGGGGGAGCACCGCAGTTGCCGTCACCGGCACGGGCGTGGTCGCGGCCGCCGGAACCGACCAATGGGGCGCGGCGGAGGACGGGGGGGAATTCCCAGCATCTCCCGCTGCGCCAGGAGAGGGGGCGGCACTGCCGTTGCCCGCAGGCGGTCCTGCCGCCGTGCCTCGCGTTTCCATGGTGACCTGCGGAGCACATGGGATCCCCTAACTAGTAACGATTTAATCGCTTACAATTTGATTTATAGAGCGCCTTCATTCAAGGCGCTGGACATAGTAAAGAAAAAGGTGATAGAAGAGAGAGGAATGAGCGACCGCAATAGAGAGTACTTAGAGGTTACGAAGGGATAGGGGAGGGACGGGAAGGAGTGCAGGGGTGAGGGGAGGAAATCAAATCGAAAGGGTGATTGATTGCTTGAGTAATTAATCGGTAGACAGGCCGGCTCCACTGGAGAGCACCAGGCAGGGCGGTTGGCTCGCCTCGCCACGAGGGGGCAGCCAAGGCACGCCAACCGGGCTGTGGAGGGCCACGTTTACGCCAAGGAATTTCTGCCACCCCAGGGGTTTTTTACGATTTTCACGCGGCCCGGCGGTAGGTCGTTCTCGCGGTTCCATTCTGGCGGGACGCCCTGATTATTATCATTATTATTATTATCCGGTGGCTTGTGAACCGCAATGCGACTCCGTGCCGCCCACTTCACGTTTGAGCCCTCCCCGTGACGTCGTTGAAATTGAGTCGAGGGCTGCTGCTGGCCGGTGTCCCCGTCGAAATTTGAGAAATGTCTAAAAATGACACCGCACGTCACCCAACTGGGCTGACGCACAAGCACACGCTCAGCACCCCTACAGCTAAATAATTGTAGCCCGAGTCTGGGAAACACAGCCACGGCTTCCTTCGTGATCGCTAAATCATAATTATCGTTTGCTGAAAGAATCAATTTTTTTAAATTTTCATTTATTTTAGTTCCCCCCCCCCCCACCTCCCCGGGGGTTTATCCCGATCGCATTATCGGCGCGCGTCATAAGCGACAAATCCGTTCACACTCGAAGCTTGAAGCGGTGCATCACACTCCTGTGTAAGCAAACGCCCCGCAGAAGCAGAAACCGCAGAGCTACCTCTTGCGATCCCTCCGCCCGCCCCTGCCACACTGAGTAATGTATGTCGCATGACAGTCAAACCGTTATTTAAATCCCAGCGATGGAATTTACACAAATTAACCTTAACCCCGGCTCTCGCACAATGTACGTGATGCAGTCACTGTTAGTCTGTTGATGGTCGGCGATGCGGCAATCGACTCGTCTCGACGAGCTGTACTCACGACGCACCACCACTACGGTGCGTGCCGCGAGCATTCGGGGTTTCGGCGCAATCGTCCTCGCTGCGTTTCGACATCGCGGAGTGGCACTGATTTCGGATTGATTGGTACCCCAGCCGCGGAGTGAAGTACACCCCTGGGGAAAATAGTGCCCTGGGGTACAACCATGAGGATCAAATTATAATGCAAAACCAAACTTAATACGATGAGTTTTTTCGTGTTTGTGCAATCCATGGTGGCCGGGCTGACAGCAGAAACTCTTTAGACTACTCGGTCTAGCATGGGAGAAACGGCAAGAAGGTGGAGAGTGAGTGAGCTGTTATAAAAGGACACATAATGGCCACGTGGAGCAATCTGTAATCAGACACGTAATAATAGTGCCCGCGTCATCCCCCGGTAAGTTCTATAATGGCCGTGCCAATTGCATGGAAAGTTTGTCCCAGAAGCAAGCGTGGTGCCAGCCGTCCGCATGCCGTGACGATTTTCCAGATGCCCGGTGCCGTTCTTAATCATAAAGAAACAATGAATTCATTACAACCAGGTGGGGGGGGGGGGTCATATCAGTAGCGGGCCCCACAGCTAACCCCCTCCCCGGCCCCGGAGCGTTGCCACGGCAACCCGCTTGGCAGGTGTGAAGCATTAGGGGCCGAGTGGCCGCCCCTCGGCTCGGCGCGGAGACATTAGCGAGAGGTGAAAATTAAAACCACGGCGCATCAACACATCCGACGCTCACACCGCCACCGCCGCCTCCGCCTCTGCCGCCGTCACGCCTGACAATTTCCACAGCGGCATCAACCGCATTCTCACCAGCCTCCTGGGATGGGGGGGGGGAACCGCATTTTCTCAACCGTATTCGCGCCACGGTCCTTGCCACGTAACCCACGGTCCAAACTGCATTCTCACTTCACTCGACCGCACTTTCACCGCACCTGCTGGCCTCGTCACCGTGGTTATCATCACATCCTCACGGTCTTCTCTATCCCTCATCCCCCCACCCCACCCCCACATCTATCGCGATCGTGGCGTCGCGCCGCCACAAGAAGAAGAATCCGTTCAGAACTCTTCGCGGGGCAGCGCGGCCCATCCGTGTCGGGGAAGGGCCCGCGTGGAAGCGGACTTTGCAGAACTACACGCGGACAAAGCCGAGCCGTCACCAACGAAAATCTTCAAACGTCCGCGGCGGTATTCCCTTGCTGTTCCAGTCAAAGGCGACGTCGTGCGACGTCGTTTCACGTCGGTACGTGACGTACGATGACATTATTAAAACGTTCAAATTGAAATTATCGCTTTATCGATGAAACTTTGGTTGTTGTAAAAGCTGAGTAGCCATGGTCAATACACTGCACCTACCGCGATCCTGCGATGCGGTACAATTATTCATTATTTACAATTATGTAAACTGCATCGGTCACTGCATCGTGCGCTTTCAGATGCCGTCTGGATCGCTCTTCCTCATCGCCCTCGTCACACAAAATCTATCAAACTCACTCAATCATTTAACCACTCATCCACCATCTCTTCCATTCCCCAATCTCACCCACTCACTCACCGTTTCTCCCATCCTCTCACGCACCCACCCATTCACTCACTCTCACAAATGAGAATCCTCTATCCTGGTCTCGTGAGTTCTCGCCGAGTTAAACAAAATCTACTTCAACCGAGAACTTGTGAACAAGAGACGAGCGCTGCCTCGATGCTCATTGGAGCAGAAAATTACAAATTACTTTCCACAAACAGTGCGCACGTGCGATGGGCCAATCGCAGCTCCGCCTCATGCTGTATTGGGCCGCAGTGGTGGAGCGAGGAGTGAGCAGCGAGGGTGAGCTGGGAGCGAAGAGCGAGGGTGAGCTGGGAGAGAAGGTGAGCTGGGAGAAAAGGTGAGCTGGGAGCGAGGGTGAGCTGGGAACGAGGGTGAGCTGGGAGCGAGGGTGAGCTGGGAGCGAGGAGCGAACAGACGTACCCAGTTCGCCGGGGAGGAGGACGAGGAGAGGACGCCCCGACCGCTGCTCGCCGAGCCTGCGGGACACGACACGGCCGCGTGGTCGGGGACACGATCGATGCCGAGGGGTCACGGCGCCGGATCCGCTGCCTCCGGCAGGGCGCTCTGCGTCGCGAGAGCGTGTCTCGTCCCGTCACGTCTTGTTGGTTCGCGCTGCGTCGTATCCTGTCGTGCGTACTACGTGTCTCTATATGCACGCGCGTGCAGAGCGGCTTGTGTCGCGCCGCACCGGATCGCTTCCCGCTGCGTCTCACGTAGCGCGGTGCAGCGTAACGTCGCGGCACCATCGCCGTAGCGTCGTCGCGTGTAACGATGCTGCCGATCGAGCGGCGTCGCGTGGCGGCGCGTACCGCTGTTACGTGCCACGTCATACCGCGCCGTGTCATTGTTTCGCATCGCGTCGTGTCACGTCGTGTTGTGCACGTCGTCTTGGCGTGTCGTGTCGTGTTGTGCACGTCGTGTTGGAGTGTCGCGTCGTGTTGTGCACGTCGTCTTGGCGTGTCGCGTCGTGTTGTGCACGTCGTGTTGGAGTGTCGCGTCGTGTTGTGCACGTCGTGTTGGAGTGTCGCGTCGTGTTGTGCACGTCGTCTTGGCGTGTCGCGTCGTGTTGTGCACGTCGTCTTGGCGTGTCACATCGTGTTGTGCACGTCGTGTTGGAGTGTCACATCGTGTTGTGCACGTCGTCTTGGCGTGTCGCGTCGTGTTGTGCACGTCGTGTTGGAGTGTCGCGTCGTGTTGTGCACGTCGTCTTGGCGTGTCACATCGTGTTGTGCACGTCGTCTTGGCGTGTCGCGTCGTGTTGCGCACGTCGTCTTGGCGTGTCGCGTCGTGTTGTGCACGTCGTCTTGGCGTGTCACATCGTGTTGTGCACGTCGTCTTGGCGTGTCGCGTCGTGTTGTGCACGTCGTCTTGGCGTGTCGCGTCGTGTTGTGCACGTCGTCTTGGCGTGTCGCGTCGTGTTGTGCACGTCGTCTTGGCGTGTCACATCGTGTTGTGCACGTCGTCTTGGCGTGTCGCGTCGTGTTGTGCACGTCGTCTTGGCGTGTCGCGTCGTGTTGTGCACGTCGTGTTGGAGTGTCGCGTCGTGTTGTGCACGTCGTCTTGGCGTGTCACATCGTGTTGTGCACGTCGTCTTGGCGTGTCGCGTCGTGTTGCGCACGTCGTCTTGGCGTGTCGCGTCGTGTTGTGCACGTCGTCTTGGCGTGTCACGTCGTGTTGTGCACGTCGTCTTGGTGTGTCGCGTCGTGTTGTGCACGTCGTCTTGGCGTGTCACATCGTGTTGTGCACGTCGTCTTGGCGTGTCGCGTCGTGTTGTGCACGTCGTCTTGGCGTGTCTCGTCGTGTTGTGCACGTCGTCTTGGCGTGTCTCGTCGTGTTGTGCACGTCGTCTTGGCGTGTCGCGTCGTGCCGCTCTGTATCACGACGTTTCATATCGTTGTCATTACAATAACGATCTCGACTTGTAACGACGCCGCACAGTATCCGCTCGCTCTCGCAGAGAGAGTGCGACTCAGAGGCGCGAAGAGGAGAGGTGCGAGATTCCACCCCTCCCTCAAGCTCTGCGGTCCTCTACGTATGAAGGCGTGCCGGCCAATTCACGTTTACACGTGGGAGGAAACCGAAGCACCCACAGAAAACGCATGCGAGCGATGGGGTGACGCTGTCCCGTAGCACTAGAGATTAGTCCACACTTGCTGTATTGCCTCCTCCTGGCGAGCCAGGGAGCAGCTTTTCCTCGATGCCCACGGGGAAATCGGAGTTCAAGGACGACGTCTGCGTGTGACCCGTCTGCGTGTGACTGGATCAGAGGCAGCCACGTGCAGCGTGACGTCGTACCGTGACGTCGTACCGTGACGTTGTACCGTGACGTTGTACCGTGACGCGTCGCGTTACCGTCGGGGTCGGCGGCGCGCGGGGGGAAGGAGACGGGGTCGCTGGGCGCGCTGCGCACGCCGCCCTCGCACACGGAGCGCACGCGGATCTGGTTGACGGCGCCGGCGCTCAAGTCGCGCAGCACCACGCCCTACCGCAGCACACAACGCACAAACACACACACACGTATTGTACACACTATGCACACACACACATTATACACACACACATTATACACGCACACATTATGCAAACACAAAGAGACAAACACATTTAATATACACATACACACATGCACACATGATATACACACGCAATTATATATAGACACATACACATTATGCACACACAAAGGGGAGACATACACATTATAAATGCACACAGGATCAGTGGAACACTGCGCCGTGTCTGCATTGAGAGACTGATATTTCCCATGCGCGGAGGAGACGATGACCCTGCCACGGGCGGGTCGGACCGTGCATGGGGCTGTGCGGGGGTGGGCAGTGAGCCCCCAGATCGCCGAGTGGCGGTGGCAGCAGCAGCAGCAGCAGGAGTAGTGTTGGGGGCCAATGTGAAGTGGAATCTCCACCGGTGGGCGAGCGCTTCATCGCCGAGAAAGCGCCGCTCGCGATTGCTTCATTCGCAGCTGCGCCATCCGCAGTTTCAATTACAACCCTCTTCACGGAAAATAACGAGCGGGGATGAGGGACGGTGACCGAGTTCGTCATCTCCCCCACACAGTTTAATTCCAGTGAATCAGCAACAGACAACATGCCGACTCCTTCACGTATCTGTCCCCGCACACAGTAAAATACACATTTGTCTTTGCACACATCCCATCAGCCAGAGGGCCTTCTGCGAGTGCGTAACTTCCGCAGCGTTGGTTCAACGCTCCAATCGGTACGACGGCGCTTTGTGCGCAGGGACAGGTGTGCGACGGGAGGCGCGTTGCCTCGTTCGCTCGGTTTGCTGCCGAGATTCTCCACGTTGACGCCGACGACTGCGCTCAGTTCCACCGTGCGTGGGCTGCTGCCGACCCTCGGATTCGAACCCAGGACCTCGCTCGGCACTGCCGGCTCTCGCGCGCCGTCAAACGGCTTCCCCCCTAACACTGCCGCCCTCACCGTGTCCTGGTCTCCGTCTGTCAGCCGCTCCTCCTCCTCCTGGCTCGCCCCGTGCGAGTACGTCACCGCGTAGCGCTCGATGGGATTGGCCGAGAGCTCGCGGGGTCGAGCCCAGGTCACGCGCAGGGTTGCGGCGATCCCCGACCCCTTACCGGCCGCCGACCGCTCATCGCCGTCGATCCGGTCGACGCGCAGCCCGTCCGGCACGGTGCTGCACTCTGCCACGACACAACCGCCAAACGCCGCAATTGCGGTGAACCACTGGCCGCCCGGGCGGAATTCAACACTCACTGCCACCGCCGCCTCTACCACTCACCATGGCCAGCCCCGTCGCTACCGCCACGACTACCGCCGCCGCGACCGCCGCCATTTACTGTCAGCCCCACTCACGACAAGTGGCGTGAACAGTACGAGTGTGAAAATTAAATTTGTTTAAAGATGCATTTCCAACCCCAACCCTCCCCCCCCCCACCAGATTTCACTCCGGCTGTAATGCCAGCGACATGACTGTACTGTCGGCGTTGAGTCGCCAGACGGAGGAATCCATAGCTGTCGATGGTTACGGTTACGGGGGGGAATCGAGCGCTTCACCAAGTGGTGACCCTGATCGTGGTAATTAATGAAACCGCTCGGGGGGCGGGAATCGTGACGCGTCCAGAGAGCAAACACTGCGACCTCGCATCTCATTACCAAAGCCCGGCACACGCCGACTGACACGCCGGGTCGCCACGGGAGAGCAGGTGGCATGATTACACACGGGGGGGGGGGGGGGGGGAGGCTATGCACACCACAGTCCTCCGCTACCAACACCGCACCCACCATCGCCACCGGCAGTGCCCCCACATCACGGCTAAAACCTCCACCGCCCTTATCACCGCCACCTCCCACCCCCATCCCGCTCGGCAACTTGGCCAGTATAGCCCCAGGCTGCCCCCTCCACTCCACCACCCACGACGCCCCCACCCTTACCACCAGTAAGACGTGTGCAAATGCCTCCAATTAAAATTCTTCAAAGGAACGTGCCAGTCAGCTGTCAGGAGCACGTGTGCCCCGACCCACGCACGGCCCGTGCAAAGAGGAGCAGGGGTCACCTGTCTGTGTGTACGTGTGTGTGTGTATGAAGAGCGGTGGCGCAGTGGTTAGCGCACTGAGCTATGAACCCGATGACCCAAGTTCGATTCACACTCACGTCCGCCAACACCGGAGACGAATATCCGAGCCGGTTTTGAGTACACTCAGCCTTAAATTGTGCTGGCTACCCCACCCCCTCGTGTGCTGTGCCGGCCTTCATAGGTGCTCGCTAACAGCACTTGCCCCAACAGTCTGTTCAAGGCTATTCGGGGGATCTTTGTCTTTGTTACCACATGTGTATACATGTGGTACTGGCCAACCACCCCTTCTGGCCACACATCTCTTCGTAGGTGCTCGCAAACAACACTTGCCCCTACAGTCTGTTGAGGTTACACGGGGAATTTTTGTCTTTGTGTCTGTGTGCGTGTGGCAGGAGCGTCGCTAATCTGCGAATCCTGACATTCGCTCCCTAACGACATCTATCTGGCTTCTGCCCGTCTGACGCTAATGTATCCACCACGGTCAGACTTAACCCCTTCCCTGGCCCGGCGCTCGCGACAAAACCCGCTCAAAGCAGTCGCCAGCACCACCGCGGCCAGTACCACCACCACCTCCACCACCACCAGCCCAAGGTGCCATACAGCAGGAAAAAACAAGTGTCCAATCACGTCGCCGAGTCAGGAGCTTTTCTGCGAGGATCACTCTGCGAAGGTACTGGCTGGACGAGTGAGACCACTGGGCCTCACCTGTGAACAGACACACCTGTGTACAGACACACACCTGTGTGGCGAGCCTCACCTGCCAGGGCGCGGTGTGTGGGCGAGGCGAGGTAGATGGCGATGCCGGCGCTGGGCTGCAGGGGCCGGTAGTTGTCCTGCAGGTAGTCGACCACCTTGCTGAAGCCCACGCACTCCACCGTGAACACTCCACAGAAACGGGACAGCTGCCCTCCGCCGCACAGCACGCGCACGGCATGTACATGGCAGGAGCACAGCACGCACGGTACACGGGATACATTAGACACGGCACACGTGGTACATGTCATAGCACTACGGATAGCAATGCATAGCACAAATTATACATGAGACATGGGACACGTGGAACACACAAAACAATGCACATACAGCGCTCGTAGAACAACTTGTGGCACACCACCAGTGACACAACTAGTGACCCCACGGTGACCCCGTAAATAACCTCATCATGGGCCCCAATTGGTGACCCCGCCAATGACCTCACCTACTTGGCTTGGTGTACAGGAGGTTGTGGGTTCGATCCTGACCCTGACGCCTGCTGCTGTATATTTGGAGTTCGATCGCATGTCTCTCTCCCCGTGGTTACGTGGATTTTTCGCCGGGTCCTCCAGTTTTTCCCTCCACATTTAGAATCAACACGCGTTTTGAGTATTTGGCTGCTGTAAATTTCCACGCGATAAGCCACTTCGTTGAGCTATCATTTGTGGCCAGGTCGCTTCTGAAAAAGAGCTACATAGCTCAGTGGGACTTACCTGGTAAAAGAAAAAGAAAAACATCAGTGAGCCCACAAGTAACTCCACCAAGTAACCCCCCTGGTGACCACACAAGTGATCCGTCGATGACCCCGTCCGGTGATGCCACCGACAACTCCCCCCTCGTGGCCCCCGTCTCTGACCCGGGGTCAGGCGAGCCCAGCGGCGGCGGCGTGCGTGCGTGTGGGCCCGCACCTGTGCGTGTGAGATGAAGGCCGGCTGGCTGTAGACGGCCCAGCTGACGAGCGGGGAGCAGGGCGGCGCCGTGAGCGACCCCTCGTAGCTGAGGTAGGAGCCCAGCTCCGCGGGGAGCAGGGAGCGCGGGGACAGAGCGGGGATCAGCGTCTCCTTGCCTGCCGACAGGGGGAGGAGGTGGGGGGCGAGTGTGGGAGAGAGAGCAGAGGGGAAAGGGGAGGAGGCATGTATTATGGGAGAGTCACGACGCGAAGGATTAAGTGCCGTGTGGCAGAAGCACCTGGGATGCCGCGCGACATGGAGTTGACGTCGTGTGTGCGAGTGAGGTCGTGGGATCGGTGGTGCAGTGGTTAGCACACTCCGCTACGAACCTGGTGACACGAGTACAATTCCCACTCACGGCCAACACCGGTGACGGTTATCTGAACCTGTCCTGGGCCTCCCCTAGGTCGATTCAGCCTCAAATGAGTACCCGGTGATGGGTGTCAACATCGCCACTGGAGAGACAAAGGCGGCCGGTGTGGTGCTGGCCACGCACCGCCCCGTGTGCCGTTCTGGCCTTCATAGGTGCTCGCAAACAGCACTTGCCCCGACAGTCTGTTGAGGCTATACGGGGGATCTTTGTCACGGACGTATGGGGAGCAGTTCCACGGTGGCTATTATCATACCACAGCCCACATTCTGCGGCACAGCAGCACAGACACCACGCATACCGCACAGCACAGCGCACAGCACAGCACATGACACCCAACACACAGAACACAACACAGGTACCACGCATACCGCACAGCACAGCGCACAGCACAGCACATGACACCCAACACGCAGAACACAACACAGGTACCACGCATATCGCACAGCACAGCGCACAGCGCAGCACATGACACCCAACACACAGAACACAACACAGGTACCACGCATACCACAGCAAGGACCAACTGAAGCCCAACGTGGGACAGTGAGGAGCCGCTTATCGGGCGGCCGTGCCGTCACCCTAATGGGAACAAATCATTTGCGCAAAACAAGCGGGGGGCTAATTACGGTGATGAACGGCACCGGGAGGTGGGGGGAAATGGGAAGGGGCGCCGTTTGAGGTAATTAACGGCGCTGGTAAGTGGGAGGGCGACCAGAAGAGTGGGTAGTCGAGCAGGGCGGGTAGTGGAGCGGGGCGGGTAGTCGAGAGTGGGTAGTCGAGCGGGGCGGTGTGTGACCGAGTGGGGCGGTGTGTGACTGAGCGGGGCGGTGTGCGACTGAGCGGGGCGGTGTGTGACTGAGCGGGGCGGTGTGTGACCGAGCGGGGCGGTGTGTGACTGAGCGGGGCGGTGTGTGACCGAGCGGGGCGGTGTGTGACCGAGCGGGGCGGTGTGTGACTGAGCGGAGCGGTGTGTGACTGAGCGGGGCGGTGTGTGACCGAGCAGGGCGGTGTGTGACTGAGCGGGGCGGTGTGTGACTGAGTGGGGCGGTGTGTGACTGAGCGGGGCGGTGTGTGACCGAGCGGGGCGGTGTGTGACCGAGCGGGGCAGTGTGTGACCGAGCGGGGCAGTGTGTGACTGAGCGGGGCAGTGTGTGACTGAGCGGGGCGGTGTGTGACTGAGCGGGGCGGTGTGTGACTGAGCGGGGCAGTGTGTGACTGAGCGGGGCGGTGTGTGACTGAGCGGGGCGGTGTGTGACTGAGTGGGGCGGTGTGTGACTGAGCGGGGCGGTGTGTGACTGAGCGGGGCGGTGTGTGACTGAGCGGGGCGGTGTGTGACTGAGCGGGGCGGTGTGTGACTGAGCGGGGCGGTGTGTGACTGAGCGGGGCGGTGTGTGACCGAGCGGGGCGGTGTGTGACCGAGCGGGGCGGTGTGTGACCGAGCGGGGCGGTGTGTGACCGAGCGGGGCGGTGTGTGACCGAGCGGGGCGGTGTGTGACCGAGCGGGGCGGTGTGTGACTGAGCGGGGCGGTGTGTGACTGAGCGGGGCGGTGTGTGACCGAGCGGGGCGGTGTGTGACCGAGCGGGGCGGTGTGTGACCGAGCGGGGCGGTGTGTGACCGAGCGGGGCGGTGTGTGACTAAGCGGGGCGGTGTGTGACTGAGCGGGGCGGTGTGTGACTGAGCGTAGGATGAGAGTCGACGCGGCGCTGCATCCCGAGTGAGAATCGGCACGCGACGCCGCCAGCCTCCCCCCAACGACGTTCAAATTACCGCTCTTCAAATGAGTCTCATTTCATCCCCGCGCGCCGGTGGGGGAGGGGGGGCCGGGGATGGGGGGAGGGGCGCGGGGGGCTACTCTGTGGGCTCGAGCCCTTGCGCCCCCCCTCCCCGCCGCCGTCGTCCCTGACGTCCGGGTACCGGCTGCTGTTTCGGATTCACAGCATCCCCTCTCTCCTCCATCCCCCTTCTCTCTCCCCCCCCCCTCCCTCTGTGTCTTTGTTAGAAAATCCCGGCTGGACAGCAGCAGCAGCGGCGGCGGCGCTCCATCCCGAACCGGCGCGTGCCCCCACCCCCCACGGCACAGCCGGTTTCCTCCTCCATCTCTGCCGAGTGCGGCTCTCCCCCCTTTCCACCGGCGGTCTGCACCACCCCCGGCCCGAGTGCCTCCCCTCTCTCCCACCAGGATCCCACCAGGACCCCCTCTCTCCCACCAGGATCCCTCTCTCCCACCAGGATCCCCTCTCTCCCACCAGGATCCCCTCTCTCCCACCAGGATCCCACCAGGACCCTCTCTCTCCCACCAGGATCCCCTCTCTTTCACCAAGATCCCCTCTCTCCCACCAGGATCCCACCAGGACCCTCTCTCTCCCACCAGGATCCCCTCTCTCCCACCAGGATCCCACCAGGACCCCCTCTCTCCCACCAGGATCCCCTCTCTCTCACCAGGATACCCCTCTCTCCCACCAGGATCCCCTCTCTCCCACCAGGACCCCCTCTCTCCCACCAGGATCCCCTCTCTCCCACCAGGAACCCCTCTCTCCCACCAGGATCCCACCAGGACCCCCTCTCTCCCACCAGGATCCCCTCTCTGCCACCAGGATCCCACCAGGACCCCCTCTCTCCCACCAGGATCCCCTCTCTCCCACCAGGATCCCCTCTCTCCCACCAGGATCCCACCAGGACCCCCTCTCTCCCACCAAGATCCCCTCTCTCCCACCAGGATCCCCTCTCTCCCACCAGGATCCCCTCTCTCTCACCAGGATACCCCTCTCTCCCACCAGGATCCCCTCTCTCCCACAAGGATCCCCTCTCTCCCACCAGGATCCCCTCTCTCCCACCAGGATCCCCTCTCTCTCACCAGGATACCCCTCTCTCCCACCAGGATCCCCTCTCTCCCACAAGGATCCCCTCTCTCCCACCAGGATCCCCTCTCCCACCAGAATCCCCTCTCTCCCACCAGGATCCCCTCTCTCCCACCAGGATCCCCTCTCTCCCATCAGGATCCCCTCTCTCCCACCAGGATCCCCTCTCTCCCACCAGGATCCCCTCTCTCCCACAAGGATCCCCTCTCTCCCATCAGGATCCCCTCTCTCCCACAAGGATCCCCTCTCTCCCACCAGGATCCCCCTCTCTCCCACCAGGATCCCCTCTCTCCCACCAGGATCCCCTCTCTCCCACCAGGATCCCCTCTCTCCCTCCAGGATCCCCTCTCTCCCACAAGGATCCCCCTCTCTCCCACCAGGACCCCCCTCTCTCCCACCAAGATCCCCTCTCTCCCACCAGGATCCCCTCTCTCCCACCAAGATCCCCCTCTCTCCCACCAAGATCCCCTCTCTCCCACAAGGATCCCCTCTCTCCCACAAGGATCCCCTCTCTCCCACAAGGATCCCCTCTCTCCCACCAGGATCCCCCTCTCTCCCACCAGGATCCCCCTCTCTCCCACCAGGATCCCCTCTCTCCCACCAAGATCCCCTCTCTCCCACCAAAATCTCCTCTCTCCCACCAGGATCACCTCTCTCCCACCAGGATCCCCTCTCTCCCACCAGGATCCCCTCTCTCCCACCAGGATCCCCCTCTCTCCCACCAGGATCCCCTCTCTCCCACCAGGATCCCCTCTCTCCCACCAAGATCCCCCTCTCTCCCACCCCCTCTCTCCCACAAGGATCCCCTCTCTCCCACCAGGATCCCCTCTCTCTCCCACCAGGATCCCCCTCTCTCCCACCAAGATCCCCTCTCTCCCACCAGGATCCCCTTTCTCCCACCAGGATCCCCTCTCTCCCACCAGGATCCCCTCTCTCCCACAAGGATCCCCTCTCTCCCACCAGGATCCCCTCTCTCCCACAAGGATCCCCCTCTCTCCCACCAGGATCCCCTCTCTCCCACCAGGACCCCCCTCTCTCCCACCAAGATCCCCTCTCTCCCACCAGGATCCCCTCTCTCCCACCAGGATCCCCTCTCTCCCACCAGGATCCCCTCTCTCCCACCAGGATCCCCCTCTCTCCCACCAGGATCACCTCTCTCCCACCAGGATCCCCTCTCTCCCACCAGGATCCCCCTCTCTCCCACCAGGATCCCCCTCTCTCCCACCAAGATCCCCTCTCTCCCACCAAGATCCCCTCTCTCCCACCAGGATCCCCTCTCTCCCACAAGGATCCCCTCTCTCCCACAAGGATCCCCTCTCTCCCACCAGGATCCCCCTCTCTCCCACCAGGATCCCCTCTCTCCCACCAGGATCCCCCTCTCTCCCACCAGGATCCCCTCTCTCCCACCAGGATCCCCTCTCTCCCATCAGGATCCCCTCTCTCCCACCAGGATCCCCTCTCTCCCATCAGGATCCCCTCTCTCCCACCAGGATCCCCTCTCTCCCACCAGGATCCCCTCTCTCCCCAGCCACATTCCTCCCAAAGCTCCCCGACGTCTTCTCTCTCTCCCAGCAGTGGAGTCCCATGGGCCCCCCCCCCATTTACAGTTTCCCCTCCCCCCTCTCTGTATCCCACAGCCCGGGACCCTCCGGTTCACGGGCCCCAGTGCAGTTGCACCGCCTGTACACTCACTACTACCTGTACACTCACTACCGCCTGTACACTCACCACCGCCTGTACACTCACTACTGCCTGTACACTCACCACTGCCTGTACACTCACTACTGCCTGTACACTCACTACTGCCTGTACACTCACTACTGCCTGTACACTCACCACTGCCTGTACACTCACCACTGCCTGTACACTCACTACTGCGCTCAAGGCTCCCTCCCATCTGCTCTGCTCCCTTCTTGTCTGTCCTCTGTGTCCCCACGCTCTCCCCAATGCTCGGTCCCCCCCCCCTCCCCGTGGCCCCCCCACCCCCCTCACCGCCACCCCCCCAACCGCACCCTGCATGACGCTAATTAAGCGATTCTCCACGAGTGTGAGAGTGTGAGTGGAGCTCGTCGCACGCCAGCGAGTGACCCGTGGTCCTGCGTATGCGGCGCGTTAGTGACGCACGCGCGCAGCAGCAGCATGGTTATGGGACGCGTGCCACAAACCGTGGCAGCGGCGGTTAATCCGTTAACCTGTTAACCCGTTAACCCAATAACCTGATAACCCATTAACCTGTTAACCGCCCTGTTTACTGCCGTGTGGAGTGTGGGTCTATGGTGCGGTGTGGGTCTGTGGTGTGGTGTGGGGGTGCGGTTGTGGGTCTATGGTGTGGTTGTGGGTCTATGGTGGAGTGTGGTGTGGGCCTATGGTGCGTAGTGGGGTGTGGCGTGGGTCGATGGTGGGGTTCGGTGTGGGTCTATGGTGCGTAGTGGGGTGTGGCGTGGGTCGATGGTGGGGTTCGGTGTGGGTCTATGGTGCGGTGTGGATCACCAGCAGTGTGTTGTGGGTGAGGGTGCGGTGTGGGCCGTTGTGTGAAGGGTAAAGTGATAATTCTGCCAAAGTAGGGGCACAGGAGGAGGCAGCAAATGGATGAAGCAGCTGGGACGGATCCTCCTCTTTCCCACGTTGCCGTGACGATTAACAAGGGACGCAAGAGAAGGGCAGGAGCGGCGAGGGGCTCCACGCGATGGCGGTAACCACGACGAGCACGGGTGGGGGGGGAGGGCAGCACTATGATGGTGGGGGCAGCACGCGGGGGGGCAGCACACGGGAGGCAGCACTATGGGAGGGGGGGCAGCACTAGTGCGCACCCCCGCTATGAAGCTCGACTTCACAGATGTCTGGTTGGGGCAGGTCAGAAAGTTACAACAACAAAAGGCAGTCCGGCAAGAGAGACCCGACACCCGTGCGCTAAACCCACCATCGATCTTTAAACTCGTTTCCTTCATTTACAAGTGATGATCGATTGCGCTAAAAACGACACAAGATTAACTATCCCGGCTCTGACGAGCACACCAGGCTGCTGCTCCCCCCGCCGGAAGTCAGCGCAGCGTTTCACTACCGAGCGGACGGAATCTGCACTTGTGCGCATAAGACCGGTAATTATTTTTTAACGCGTGGGCTTTCGCGAACGATATTATTCAGGATAAAGTTCCGTCTCCGTTGTGATTTGATAAACGAGGGTGGGGGCTCCATTCGGGAATCAACAAAATGTAAGTTTGACGCTGTGGTTAACGGTGGCCAACAGTCGTCCGAGGAGGTCAACTATGAATAAAAAAAAACGTTGATCCCCGCACACTCGCATGATTTCGATGCTCATATCGTCGACGGACGGAGCGAGGGATAGAATTTTACAGATGAACAGACAGACACGTAATTTCCGAATGTACGGATGAACTGACAAGATTTACGAATTTGGACAGATACAATTAAGGACAGAGCAACGAACGGACGGTGGGGAATGAACGGACAGATAGACGGATAACAAGCGGACGGACGGACAAACGTAGATAATAACTCCCGGGGACTGGAGGAAGAAGTTCCCGTCGCTCGCCACGCAAGAGATGCCGGCGGAGGGATACGCACCGTAATGAGCCACGTGCGCCAGCCCATTGGTGATGGGGTCCAGCGCGGGGTTATCCTCATCACGCACCTGCACCAGCAACACCCACGCGGGTCAAAGGTCAAGCGCGCAGTATGCAATATAGGGTAAAGGAAACCGTATTCAAGTGCACACATGCGCACGCACACACGCGGTCAAAGATTGCCTCGATATCCTACACAGGCTAAGGGGGCAAATGCTATTTGTGAGCAAGCGCTGTAAGCTAGCACCTATAAAGGCTGACGCAGCATACGAGAGGGTGGGGTAGCCAGAACCACGCCAGGCCGCCTTTGTATCCCCAGTGGCGATGTTTACACATCGCACCAGGTACTCATTTGAGGCTGAGTCTACCTAAGGGAGGCCCAAGGACCGATTCAGATATTCGTGACTGGTGTTGACCTTGAGCGGGAAATGAACTCTGATCGTTGGGTTCACATCGCAGAGTGCTAACCGTGACACACACACGTGGCACGCGTGACACACGGAATGCCCGGACGAGAATTCGGTTTGAGATGCAGGAGTTGGCACGGCGCGACCCGGGGCGACAGCTGACAGCGCCGGCCGGCGATGAGGAACAACGCGCGGGTGACACCCGTGACAAGTCCGCTCACTCAGGCTGAGTTATGACACGCGCACGGCACGCGCAGACACATTCGCTCGCTGTCCATCTCCCAGACTCCCACGTCTCTCCCACACCGGCGCTTCTCTCTCGCCGTGTGTCGAAAAGGGTCCCGTCTCTCCCCTGCCCCCCCTCTCTCTCTCCCCAACGACATTCCTCTTCTCTCCACCAGCAGTGGCATGGAATTACACCGGGGGGCCGTCTTTGACAATTTCCCCTCTCCTCTTCGCAGACCTCCCCGCGGGGCCGAGTCTGGCACTGCCGCCACCGCCATCACCACAGACTCTCGAGGTCATGGACCTCCGCGTCCGGATGAGAGACACACACACGCCCAGCCCCGTAGGGTCGCCGACAGACACACACGCTCAGCCCCGGAGGGTCGCCGCAACGACGTCGTATCCCCCACTGTGGCTGAGCACAGGCCCCGAAGGCCAAAAATGGCAAGCGGGCAGCAATAACCGGCACTGTGAACGTTGCAATAGATGAAGGGTGTTGACGCCGTCTCTTGATTGTTGGAGTGAGCGAGGTTGGAGGTCGCTGTTCTGAGAGCGTGGGAGGGAAAGAGACGATGATCGGAGGGGGTTCCCAAACAGACCGGCACGATGGAAAGAGAGGCGTTGAGACCTGTCGTGTGGTGACTGGGTGAGAAAGTGGGTGGGCGAGTGAGTGGTGGAGGGGCGAGTGAATGAGCGAGTGTGTGAGTGGGCGAGTGAGTGAGCGGGTGTGTTGTTGTGGCCTGCAATGTGGTGGTGCTGCATGACACAGTGCATGAGATGGTCCCAGTCCATCTGGGTCACGTTGTACAGATATACAATCCACTATCGACGCGTCGCTCGTTTTGCATAACACCGTTATGTAACAGCTGTTATCGCCATCCGTTTCATTCCAGTAAATATTTGATCTCCTGATTAAATATTTATGAAACGGCAAGCGCAATAATTTTAGTTTTAAACAAGTCGCGATTGGATATTAAATCAGCGCCGCGCACGTTTCCCAAGTTAATTGACAGCAACTCTCGCTAATCACTGTGGGATTGGCAGCGCGCGTGCGGGTTCTGAACGTGGTGAAGCGCAATGGCTATGACGGTCAGCCCGCGGAGGGCTAACTTGTGTTGGCAGAGGCACTCCATTCGCAACTGGGATGACGGACAAACGCGAGAACGCAAAACAACACCCGTCACAATGACAAGGTCAAGGGGAATTGGTGTGCGGTGGCGAACGCCATGCCGCGTGGACTGGTATCGCTCCGTCCGTGCAAAACGCTTCCACAGGGATCCCACAGAAGCAGGCCCTGACCCCGACTACGGCCTGGGGCCTGGGACCCCGGACCCCATTATTGGATGTGGCCATGGCAATGACACGCGGCGAGGCTCTCCTGGATAAATAATGCCTGTAATAGTTGTTGTTGTTGTGGTTGTGGTTATGATTGCTATTGACCCAGACACCCACTGCGGCGGTCTCCCTCTCGCCATAACTCACAGGTGGCACATAAAGACATAAGCACTGCGCATGCACACACACAAACAAATGAGAGCCGAATCGATAGCCCATTAGCGCCACGCGTGGATGGGAGCAGGAGAGCCGGTGGCCACACAGGCGGACGGGGCGGTACAACCGGGACGTGCGGTGCACCAGGATGGGACGAAGCGACCGGGGCGGGCGGCGCAACTGAGACAGACTGCGAGGGGTAGAGTGAATGGCCAATCCAGTTATCCCATTATCTGGGTACCCCTTTACCAAGGTACCCCATTATCCGGTTACCCGATTACCAGGTTACCCCATTACCCAGGTACCCCTTTAGCAATGCACCTCCATTACCCAGTTGCTCAGTCATCGATTTACCTTGTTGCTCTGTTACCCGAGTTCTCATCAACCCGTTACCCCATTCACCAGGAACCCCATTAACCCGTTACCCGATTCACCAGTAGCCCCACTACCCAGTTATGTGTTACCTTGTTACCAAGTTACCCCACTAGCCGATCACCACATTACCCTGTTACCCCTTATCCGGTTATCTGTCAATTGGTCAACCAGTTAGCTCACTCACTGGTTATGTATGTGCAGTGACATAAATGGGGTCACTATGGCGGTTACCGCCAGCTACCGTCACAGGAGTGGAGCTGTGCGTCTTGGGCCTCTCTCGGGCACCAGAGTTGGCATGCCATGGAAGGGGGCCCTAGTCCTGGTGACAGCGAGAGAGGTCGGTTGAGGATGTGGCAGTCTGGGTGACCCCGAGAGGGCACGTGACCGGACGAGGTGGCAAGGGGGGCCCAAAGGAGGAGAAAGGGGCACGTGAGGTAGGGGCCAGAGCCTTCGGGAAGGATCTGGAAGGGGGCGTGGGCTGGCCACGCTACGGCCGATAAAAGCCGAGCCCCGAGCCCCCATCGGGGCTGTCCTCTGGAATGCACCCTCGGCGCCACGTCTCTTCGATCTTTGGTCTTCGCTCGGCATCGTGGGTCAGTCAGAATGTTACTGACGGACCCGGTTATATAGTTACCCTGTTGTGGTCTAGTTACCCTGTTGTGGTCTAGTTAACCAAGTGTACGTTTATGCAGTTACCCTGTTGGGGTGTTATAATACACGTATTGCCTCCAAGTCAAGTGTGTGCCTCTGTGAAGAACACTAAATATGTATATATGTTGAATTTCTTCCACACCATACATAGTCAACCATGCTAGTCAGATTTCACCCAGACATCCAATCACCTGACTACCTCATTTCCCCTTTACCCTGTTGCCCGCCCCACCTGAAAGAGGATGGCGATTGCGGCCATGCTGTCCCCACTGGCGATGGCCTGCTCCAGGCTCTGGGAGGTGTTGGGCCGGTACAGCAGCACCTGCATCTGTAGGAGACACACGGCAGCGGCAGCGAGTGAAGCTGCGTCACGTCTGGGAGGCTCAACCTGGACGAGTGGCGAGCAGGCAGACCCCCCTCCCCCTCCCTCCCTCCCTCGGTTGGCCCATCCCACTTTCACACAGCCGTGCCCAGTCACAAGCGCTGCCCACACAGAGAGTGGCCTCATCACTACAGGGACTCCTGTACTTACAATCGAGTTTGGTTCCAGAGGTCTGTTCACAACTCTGTCGATTCCAAACATGTTGTACGGCGTGTACACTAAACACGGGAATCGCTTTAAAAGTTGTATTGTCGCCTGTAGATGCCACTGATTCTTCATGTTCTGCAGATGTAGATGCCACCACTGCCATCGATTGCGCGGCGGTTGCACTTACGACTCTTGGTCCGAACAGGCAACTGGACATTGGGACAGGTTTGTTCGTATCTCTGAAAGTTCGTACGTCGAATATTCATAAGTAGAGGAATCCCTGTATTTGTGATCTAGGCCTCGCCCACGACTCTAGTAGCTCCACCCACTACCCAGGTAGCTCCACCCACTACCCAAGTAGCTCCACCCACTACCCAAGTAGCTCCACCCACTACCCAGGTAGCTCCACCCACTACCCAAGTAGCTCCACCCACTACCCAAGTAGCTCCACCCACTACCCAGGTAGCCCGCCCCCCTGCCCGCATCATAAGTGGAAGAAGAGGCCAGAGTATGTGAATGCACACGTCAAACTGATGAAGCGATGAATCGTCACTCGCAGCACAGGGGGGGGGGGGGGGGGGCCCTGAGGACCCCGCTGGGCACCACCGGCTGCTGCCCGACCTCCCACACCCCCCTCGTGCGGATCCCATCCAATGAATTCACAATGCGAGGAAACGAAAATCCGCAGCCATGGTTTCATACACAGCCACACCCCAGGTCCCCTCCACATGCCCCTCACCACACACTCTCCTCACTCACCACACACTCTCCTCACTCACTCACCACACACTCTCCTCACTCACTCACCACACACTCTCCTCACTCACTCACCACACACTCTCCTCACTCACTCACCACACACTCTCCTCACTCACTCACCACACACTCTCCTCACTCACTCACCACACACTCTCCTCACTCACTCACCACACACTCTCCTCACTCACTCACCACACACTCTCCTCACTCACCACACACTCTCCTCACTCACCACACACTCTCCTCACTCACCACACACTCTCCTCACTCACCACACACTCTCCTCACTCACCACACACTCTCCTCACTCACCACACACTCTCCTCACTCACCACACACTCTCCTCACTCACCACACACTCTCCTCACTCACCACACACTCTCCTCACTCAGCACACACTCTCCTCACTCACCACACACTCTCCTCACTCACCACACACTCTCCTCACTCACTCACCACACCACACACCACAAATACACCACTCCCCACATGTAAACCACACGTACACCACACAAATACCACACACTTTCCTCGCTCACCACACGACACACCACATATACCAACCACACACCAACAGATGCCACATAAACCACCACCCACACTCCCCACAGACCAACTTCACCATCCCCACACACCACACTCACCACAACCGCAATGCACTACTCACGCCAGCAAGCAACCATTCACTCGGAGGCCACAAGAAGAACGGGGGACATAACCGTGGCAGGGCTGTCACCCCTGGCCCGGCACCGTGGTTACGAGCGGTTAACGAGGGTTTATAAGCGGGAGGAGCGGGAGGCGGCGACGGTGAACAATATGAAATATTAAAGGAGCTGGAGGCAGACGGGCGGGCGGGACTGTAAGCAAGCGGGAGTGCGTGAGAGCACAGAACGTGAGCGCGTGTGTGGGGGACATTGTGAGTATGTGTGTGAGCGGGTGTGTGTATGTGAGCGGGTGTGTGAGTGAGCAGGTGTGTGTGGGTGTGTGTGAGAGTGAGCGGGTGAATAAGAGCGAGTGGGGTGTGAGCGCGGGTGTGAGCGGATGTGTGGATGTGTGTGTGAGAGCGAGCGAGCAGAGGGTTCGTGAGGAATCGATCTCTCTCTCTCAGAGCCGAGCCGGCCGCCCGCTCGGCAGAGCTCATGAAAAATGGAGGTGAGGAAACGAGGAGGGGGGAGGCACGTTACTGCTGTGACCTCTCCTTGTTACCTGTCCTTGGCGGCACGCCAGCCCTGCTGCTGGTCTACGTCCCACCGCCACTAGTCCCACGGCCACTAGACCCACGGCCACTAGACCCACGGCCACTAACCAGAATTCCACCAGTCCCCACTGCTAACCCCACAACCTGTAGCCACTGCTCGCCCCCGCCGCTCGCCCGGCCCCCACCTCGAGCGGGTAGGCCTGTCCATCGAGCCGGTGCTCCGAGCCTTGCGTGTCGTTGCAGCGCCCCCAGTGGAAGGAGAGCTGGGCAGCGCGGAACCGCCCGGGCAGCGCCCCGCTGCTCACAAAGTAGTCCCCCGCCAGCGCCACCTCCACTGCCATGGGGGTCGCAAAGGGGTCGCACGGGGTCACAAAAGAAGGCACACGAGATTTGCAACACCGCTGCACGGCCCGTTACAAAATCATCAGGACCCCGGACCACCATCATAATGATGACAACAACGAGCACCGGGAACAGGTCGCCAGGGGTCACACGGGGGTCAGACCGTATGCCCCACCGTCCCATGTCGCCGTGTCTCGGTTTGTAGGTGGGGACGAGGTGAGACAGAGAGCATTACCAAGTAGACCGTTAGGGAGCTCTCTCTCTCTCTCGCGGTACGGGCGGACGTCTGGTACTCGCCCCATGCGAACGATGTGTGCACGCGCTCGCGGTCACACGTCATTCGCGCGTGCTCACACAAACTCTCACACACTCACACACAATCTCTCATATAGCCTTTAACAGACTGTAGGGGCAAGTGCGGTTAGTAAACATCAATTACGGCCGGCACGACACACGAGGGGGTGGGTGGCCAACACCACGCCCAACCGCCTTTGTCTCCCCAGCGGCGTTGTTTACACACCACACCAGATACTTATTTCAGGCTGAGTCAACCTAGGGGAGGGCCCACGGCTGGTTCAGATAAGTCGTCACCGGTGTTGGCCGTGAGCGGGAATCGAACTTGGGTCACTGGGTTTGAAGTGCAGCGCGCTAATCTCTCCACTACCGCTCCCCCCACCAACCCAAAACAGACTCTCACTCATTCCTCCCTCTCCCCGTGAGATGCCTCTGAGCCTCACCGCTCTTCCCAGAATTCCTCAGGAGCAGCTGCCGCGGTGTTCTCCTCTTCCATCCCTCCAGTACCATCCCAGAATGCACTGCGCTGGGTGTGGCCGCCACCGTCGAGATGTCTATGGGCGACTGGCGCGATGAGTTGCATTCTGGGTAACTTCCGGCCCAATTAAAAGGCCCAAATTCACCTGTTAAGACACAGAGGGTTTGCAGATGTTAGGGGGAGGGAGGAATTCATGTGGATGTGAGGGAGAGAGAAAGAGGCGGGGAGGATGGGAGAGTGGGAGACACAGCAAGCATGACAAGTTGAACAAGGCGAGGAGCAGGGAGGGGCGGTGGTGGACAGGGGATTAGGGGGCCCTGTTGGCGGCTGGGGGTGACATCTGTGACCAGGACAACAAAACATCCCCGCACCCCCCCCCCACCCCACGTGTGTAAGCGGAACGGCCCATGTTGCCCTCTCCGAGATAGAAAACCAAATGGGATAGAGAGGAACATCTCGCGGCACGGGGGAGACGGGCTCACGGCGCGCGAATGCGGCGTCCGGAGCGGCCAAACCATTCCGCAATCAGGGCTTTTAATTTGAAGCGGTTGGGCCAGGACAGCGGCTACTTTGAACGAGAGGACGATTCCTTTAAAAAATCAGGACAAGCGTCCACCCAGAACCAAGGGGCGTGCAGCGAGAAGGCACTGCGATACCCGTGATGGGAGGCGCGGGCCGGGTCAGTGAAGCCGAGCCGGCACCACGGAGACTCTGGGTTTGACTCCAGGTCTGGGCAATTAAACCTGTGATTAAACCTGTGATTAAACCGGGGTTCTCAAGCGCAACAAGCTGATGAGTCTCAGCCCGGTTACCACTCACTTCCACCGAGACCGATAGACTTGCATAGAGACCCATACACTCAAATAGAGACCCATAGGCTCACGTTGGAAACTGTCCACCCGTGTTTCTGTAAATAAATGAAACGCAACGTTTCCCAAAAGTCAAGGCAATTTGTATTCATAAAGAGTGTGAACGTGGCAGTAAAGTGCCACTGCTTGCCGTGAGCGTTCTGCACGGCACCAACAGCAAACCCGGAATTTAATCTGGAACCGAAAATCAACAACAAAACCTTTCAACAAAGTCAACCTCCCAGAACCAAACTCCACGCCCGCCTGGCATGGGGCCAGTGGCACCACCGGCAAACCGCCACGCCAGAGCACATCGACCACACGAGCACACCTGGCTAAACACAACCACTCGCTCCACCACGCTCCCCAACCACACCTCGGAATACCAACCCCACCACGCTGTCCTACCCCACCACACTCTCCCCAGCCCCACCACGCTGGCCTGCCCCACCACTCTCTCCCCATCCCCACCACGCTGGCCTGCCCCACCACTCTCTCCCCATCCCCACCACGCTGGCCTACCCCACCACTCTCTCCCCATCCCCACCACGCTGTCCTACCCCACCACTCTCTCCCCATCCCCACCACGCTGGCCTACCCCACCACTCTCTCCCCATCCCCACCACGCTGTACTACCCCACCACTCTCTCCCCATCCCCACCACGCTGGCCTACCCCACCACTCTCTCCCCATCCCCACCACGCTGTACTACCCCACCACTCTCTCCCCAACCCCACCACGCTGTCCGTACCCAACTCTCCCCTCCCACCACGGTCTGCCCCCACTCTCTCCCAGCCCCACCACGCTGTCCTGCCCCACCACTCTCTCCCCAGCCACACCACGCTGTCCTGCCCCACCACTCTCTCCCCATCCCCACCACGCTGTCCTGCCCCACCACTCTCTCCCCATCCCCACCACGCTGTCCTGCCCCACCACTCTCTCCCCATCCCCACCACGCTGTCCTGCCCCACCACTCTCTCCCCATCCCCACCACGCTGGCCTGCCCCACCACTCTTTCCCCAGCCCCACCACGCTGTACTACCCCACCACTCTCTCCCCAGCCCCACCACGCTGTACTACCCCACCACTCTCCCAGCCCCACCACGCTGTCCTGCCCCACCACTCTCCCAGCCCCACCACGCTGTACTACCCCACCACTCTCTCCCCAGCCCCACCACGCTGTACTACCCCACCACGCTCTCCCCATCCCCACCACGCTGCCTACCCCACCACGCTCTCCCCATCCCCACCACACTGTCCTGCCCCACCACACTCTCCCCATCCCCACCACGCTGTTCTGCCCCACCACTCTCCCCATCCCCACCACGCTGCCTACCCCACCACGCTCTCCCCATCCCCACCACGCTGTCTGCCCCACCACGCTCTACGAAACCCCACCGTACTCTCCGGATCCCTCCCCATCACGCCGTCAGGGTCCCGCTCCCCACCCAACGCACTCTTCAGCCGGCTACCCTCCACGCTACTCGGCCTCACCACTCCGGCCGGCCCCAGCACACCGCACGAGACAACCGCGGCGCCGCACGCACGCAGCCCGGCGCCAGCGCGTACACACGGCGTGTCGGCGCGGGGCGCGGGGCACGGTCTGATAACGAGGCGCTAATATTGAATCCCCGCCGTGGCAGATTACAGAACCTCGGGGTCAACGCGCGGCTCGGAGGGGAGGAGGCTCCCGCCACGCACGGAGACTCGCGGCCCAGCCCGCGCAGAAGCTCACACGGCCCTCACCGGCTCTGTGAGTACGCAGTGAGTACTCGCCGCTCCGGAGAGCACTCGTGATGGCTACAGTACTCTTTGCATCGAGGCTTGGGGCCTAATTCTCCAGAAATGTATTTGAGCATCTTACGATTATTTTATCATTCTATTCATTCCCCAACCCGCTTCTTCTTATAATTTAATGAGTGTGTTTACAGATTTTCTCTGTGAGTGTGTTTGTTTTATCTGAACTTATCTAGTGTCCTTGAATCTCTTGGCATGGAAGACACTCTCTAAATAAAGATTCGTATCATCATCATAATCATTGTGCCTGCGCTAATGCTCCCGGCTTCGCTGTTCAACTCTTGAACCACCACAGTCAATCGCGTGGCTGGGATCGAGACAGCCTCTCAGAATCGTTGTGGGGTCTGGGGTGGGGGGGTGTTTGAGGCTTTGGGGTTTGGTTGTTGGGGTGGGTGGGGGGAGCGCCCCCCCCACTCCATCTCCGTCCATCACTGCTTCTAGCTTCGGCGGAAAGCAGGAACACAAACGAGGAATCCCACCGCATGACGGCCGCGGCCATCGGGCGCCTGTACCACACCGCACCCCCACGCCAGCCCCCCACCCCCAACTCCATCCCACCACACAGCCCCCCTCATTCACCCTACCACACCACCCCCACCACACTCCAGCTCCACCTAGCCCCACCACTCTAGCTCCACCACGCTCCCCTTGTCCCACACCACTCCAGCCACGCCACCCCAGTCCCACTCACGCCAGCCCCTGCGGTGAAATCTCTGTTAATCGGCTACCGCCAGGGAGTTGCCGGCTCAAAGGACGTGACTTGCGTGTTCACCACCGTCGTCGTCGTTTCAAGTTCAGAGTCAAAACAAACGAGCCGACTGCGAGCAGTTGCGTGAGCGTGCACAATACGCATCAAATCTCGACAGTCACCGCAACGAGCCGTGATCAACAGACTGTTGGACGAAGGCCACCTCCATCCCCAAACCACCTCCATCTCTCACGGTGGTTCCCTCGGTTCAGACGATCCATCCGGCGTGCCGCCCGTGGTTTGGCCGATCCCGTCGCTCCGTGTCCCTGGCGATCTCGTCAAGTTGAGATCGCTAATTAATAATTATTAACGATCGGCGTCAAAGGCCAGATGTCATCGGGCAGTCGGCTCGGCGCGCGAGTCAACATTGGTTTAACGCGAGGGTCGCGAAACCGGGGCCAAACGGCGAGTCGTCCCAAATGAATTCTCGCTGAACTTTCCATCGACCATCACCACCACGCTCGCCACCCACACCGCGTCCGGTGGATGACGCCAAGGGTCGGCAGCAGCAGCAGCAGTAATGGAAGGCAGCAGTTTCAGCAGGAGCATCATCATCAGTAGCATCAGCGGAATCAGCAAGAGCATCAGCAGTGGAAAGAGCAGTATCATCAGTGGAAGCAACAATAGCAGCGCACTTAGCATCATCATCAGAAGCATCACCGTCATCAAGCAGCAGCATTAGCAACAGCATCTCTAGGAGCAGCAGCAGGAGCATAGACATCGTCGTCATCGTCAGCAGCATCTGCATCGGCATAAGCGGCATTAGAAGCATCAGCAGGATCTTCGCCGCCACCACCACCATCAGCAGCAGCGGCATCAGCATCATCATCAGCAGGCCGGCCGTGTGTGGTTGCGGTACCACCACATGCCGGCGTGGAGGGGTACCGCACGCAGCGATAACCCCGACAATTTGGAGGCCGCTGTCAGTGGCACTCTGCCGTCCCGATAACAAACGCCCAGCGCGGAATTAACCCATTCCTTTTTCTCCTCGCCTTGTCCACTCCATTAGGGCCCGCACGCACGTACGTGCCCGTTCCGTACGCACGTACATCTGTATGTACGTGTGTCTGTCCGTACGTGCGTGCGCCCGTGAGTTTATCTGTGCGGGTGTAGTGGGGAGTGGTGGTGTAGCGGTTAGCGCACTGCGATACAAACCGGGCGAACAGAGTTCAATTCCCACTCAACACCAGTGACGATTATCTGAACCAGTCCAAGGCCTCCCCTAGGTCTCAAATAAGTACCTGGTGCAGTGGCCTTCATAGGAACTACTCGCTAAAAGCACTTGCCCCAACAGTCTGTTAAAGGCCACATGTTGGAACTTTGTCTATGGTTTGTGTGTTGAGTGATGGTTGATATTGTATTGAGTGATGGTTGGTATTGTATATGGTATGTGTTCACGAATGTAAATTTTCACGTGTGTTTTATGTGGTCTTGTGTGTCTGAGTCTGTGCTTACGTGCCCTTTGTGTGAGTGTTTCAGTCTATATATTTACGTTAGTGTGTGTGCTTGTTGTATGTGTTGAGTGAAGGCTTGCAGTCTTGTGCATTTGTGTGCACGCTTTGTGTGCACGCTTGTATGTGTGTACATATGTGTGGAGCGGAGGCACAGTGGTTAGCGCACCACTCTACGAACCCGGCGACCCCAGTTCAAACCGGCCGCATCACCTGCTGTGAATGTTTTCCGAACCCGGCCGTGGGGCTCTCCTAGGTCGACTCAACCTTAAATGGGTGCCTACTGCAGTGTGTAACCATC